ACCAATTTGTGTTAAGACGAGATCCGATTCGAAATTAAAATATCTATTTTGGTTCGGAATAATCCACCTAAAATATATTTTTCCATTAAAATTGTTAAATCAAAATGGTTACATATATTTCTATGATGTTTGCTCTATTATTTTTTGTCTTGAATCATATGAAAATCCCGTGATATTTTTTTTTATAAAAAAAATCCCATGATATCAATCTTGATTCGTTTTCTAAGTAGTTGGATCACTTCCAAAGAGCTTCTACCCTCTTGGCCAAATGAATGGGCGTGCTCTAGGGTTATTGATATAATTAAGTTAGATTGAATATTGTTGTAAATAACTAAAGTAAATAATATATATATATATATATATATATATATATATATATATATATATATATATATATATTGTGTTGTGTATGTCCGTTTGCTTAGTTTTAATACGCTAACAAAAACTCACAATCCGCCAAAAGTACGCACGTAAACATATAGGTGTATACAAATATAATAACAAACGGAAATATTATATTAAAATACAAACAATTTGCATAGAGAGGAACGGGAAAATATTAAAAATTACAACGAATTTCTACCTAGACGTGACGATCATAACATAAAACTATGTCACGTTAATGGCTTCGTGTGGTATATGTCTGCCAGAGACCGTCATCGATATATAAATTTCCAATTTTATTCACATAATAAATATTATTAATTAATATTCAATATACATATATATATATATATATATTATAATCGTATGACGTTGTTACTTATTTATTCAAGCCGATGAGCCATTTAGACAAGCAACGTAATTTCCATCATCAAGATGCCCTTTTCAAACTACTTTCATTAAATTTTTATGTATTGCTCGTAAGCGTTTCGAAACAAGAATATCTCGCTAATTTTATCATATTTGAGATACAAAAAAAAAATTGCATTGAATTTATCTATTTCTTTTTTTGTCAAATTTTTGTCCGAAATAAGTATACTGTTTATTTTATAATACGATCGACATTTGATGTTTTATTTATTTTATATTTTCCGAATATTATTCAAATGTAATGAGAAAAGCTTACCACTTGAGAGAGAGAGAGAGAGATGAGTTTGGCAACTGGTGAAATTTTCTTTGATCACTTCAAATAAATACGTAGTTAAATAAATGTGCAAGTTAACACCCTAACAAGTCACGAAATGACAATGACTATGGTATTTGTTCATAATCGTTGATGATTTTTATTTATAATAGTAGTTTAATTGTAGACTCCTTCCAATATTGTATATCGACCAAAATTTATTTTCCGAATATTATTTATTAACTCGACAACTAATGTGTATAGGCTAAATATAAGAAAATCACATAAATCGAGAGATGCGAATCAAATATTAGAGTTTATATCTTGTATAATAGATTCTGATAATGGTTAGAGTTTATATCTTGTATAATAGATGCGAATCAAATATTAGAGTTTATAGAGAAGGAGCATGCTATAATAGGAAAATGCGTATGGATTTATAATCATTCTACTATCGAATGAAATGATGAGATTCCATAGGAAGACCAATGCTTCATGATGAAAATTGAGAGATTTCATTCAAAAGGGGTCAAAATAATGATTTTGTGGAAATTGCGGGTTGTTCAAGAATTACCCAATTCTTGTTTTGCCTTCGGGAGGGGAAAAATGCTTGGCCTCTTGTGGCCGAACCCTTTCATCCATTTCATGTGATGTGCCCTTCTCTTTGCAATCAATAGATGGAAAGGCATGGGCTCCACATTACACTCACTCTCTTCTCTATATGGTATTTCCTTCACGTTCACATCACATATATATATATACACACATACATACATATATGTGTGTGTGTGATATTGTAATTCATATATATATATATATACATAATATACCAACCTGTGTCCTAAAGAGATTGGAAATATTGATACCATATAGGATAGGTTTTGCACCGGTTTGAGTTTGATAACCGTATTGTTTTTTTTTATATTTGTATTATATATTTACGAAGTATATATATTATGATTTGATCCATTTTATATGCAAAAAAATAAAAATAATAATGTTTCACTAAACATAGATAACAAAACATAGGTATACATGGGCGATTAGAGTTTTGGATAAATTGGATACAATTGTAATTTGTGATTCCGTTAAGAATGCTAAGAGTTCAAAATATTGTGAGAAATAAAAAGTATTGATTACGTGAAACGCGTGCCTTTTTTGTAATTATAAAGCTGATGATTCTAAAAGAAAGTATATATAATGTTAATAAATCAATAAATGATGAAGCTGCTATTACATTGATCCGAATTTTATATAGATAAATGAAAAAGTAAGTACAAACAATGAGGACAATAACATGTAATAAAATTTAAATAAGGTCTAATAGTTAAAAGTTATCCTCCTAATGAAATTATTTCGATATGAGACTTGTAAAAGTGCCGATAACATGTACGAAACGTATATTACATATTAAAAAAAAAATACGTACCAAACTCACATCTATTGACACGTACGAGTTCTAAAGAAGGTGACATCTTTCGTCGTTTCTCGCATACATACATAAATACATACATACATACATACATACATACATACATACATACATACATACATACATACATACATACATACATACATACATACATACATACATACATACATACAAATTTACATACATACATACATACATACATACATACATACATACATACATACATACATACATACATACATACAAATTGATATAGATATACCAGCTTTTTTTATGTCTAAACAACTTTTGCATTGATCGATAAATAAATTTTATCGGAGGCACTTTATAGTTTGAAATAAATTATTAAAAAATGGATAAAATATGATTATATATATATATATATGTACACACACATAAAAATAAATGATGCCTACAAATCTACTCAATTTTTATTAGATTCTTTTAAAAAATCTTCTGATGCAGTAATGTTATGATTTCGTTATAAAGTATTGATCAATTTAAAAAAAATAATTCGAATAATATAATTATAAACTAACCTATCTATAAAAATATTTATATTAAAAGAATCTAATAAAAATTGAGTAAAAAAAATATTTTACTTAATTCTTTTATGAATATGTGGTGTGTGTGTGTATATATATATATATATTATTGAGCGTACTAATATACATGTGTAGATATAAATAATTATATATGTAAATGTCACCATATCAACGAGGGCAAGTGGCCGGTTGACATTCATCCTTTTTTATGTTATATTTATATATTAGGTAATGAAATTAGATAACATTATTCCCATTTCTCTTGGTTATAGAATTTGGAATTCCCAAAGTAGCATTTCCTTGAAGGACCCACATGTAAAATATGTGACGTGGCTAGTGCAACATGTCCATGAATTTTAAGTCATGCGCACGCTTACATGATGAATTTAGAATTTAAATTAAATTGTTTTATTATTTCGTCGCAAGTGCATTAGCAAAATATCATAATATAATACGAAAATTAAGTGAAAATTACACAACTGTGACAAAATAAAATTAAGATTGATAATAAACACATACCGAAATTTCTTATTTCCATTGATATTTCAGATTTGTTGAAATTTAAAATTCACCCATATTAATGGATAGAAATCCATCCATAACTATTTTTAGTCAAGGGATGTCCATACTTTATACGTTAATATTGTTTAAAAAAAGATTTAATTTTCTAAAAATTAATAAAAAAATTATTAAAATAATATATGTCAATAAAATCAAACGTAATCGGACCCTAATTCTAATTATATATATAAAATAAATACGACCAGCAGTTTATAGTGTCTATGTGTATAACGTAAAATTATACGATTTGAGATCGGCAATGTTTACAAGTAACTTTGACTTTACAACATCATAAATCCTGCCGCTAAAACCCAATGATAATAATTGATTCGCATTAAAACAAATACAATATTATAATTATTGTGACATTTCACCTCATAGGAGAAAGAAACATTGAACATGAAATGATTTGGCCATTTCCATGGCTTTGATTTGTTAGATAATATCTTAAGGGGGCTCCACTGGGGCTACAAGTGGGATTTTATATAAAAAAAAAAGTAAATATATGGGAAAAATATGAACTATATATATCTATATATTCTTAAAATATTATTCTCTTATCTATAACTTGTGGAATTTGAAAATCTAGCAAACTATCCGATTTGTATTTGTGGAGTTTTTATTTGATTTTTTTCATTGGATTTAAAAAATATTTATAAAGTTTCAAAGATCCATTAAAATTTTAAAAGGTAATTAAATACTTTGAGATTATAAAAGGCACTTTTGTTACAACATCTTTTTACACGCAAGGATTTTCAGATTATTTTATGGAAATATTCTTCATATTTGATATTCTGATATGGATTCGGGATCCCACTGTCCAGTTTTATCTTCAAAGTGATTATTGGTCCACAGTTCCTTGACAATTTCATTATTTATATTTTAAAAAATAATATTTCAAAAGGATATTACTCCAATAATATCTAACTTTTAAAAGTATTGAAAAGTCTATTCGATTCTAAACTTTTTTCTAGTTATGTTCAATTCAATAAGTATTGCCTTTGATTGCAAAATGGTTAAATTGGATACTTGAGTCAAATTGAAATTAATGTAACCAAACTATTTACACTAGAAATTCAAACTCACACAGTTTATAAATTCAAAACTCTTAGCAAACTCAATTTTACTAATTCAGTTTTTCATAAATCACATGTTTACCTCTCTAATTTTTATTAATTAATTTAATTAAAATTTTCAACTCAATATGTTACCACGTAGAGCCATGAAGAATGCCACGAAGGAAACAAATCTGAATAGATATGGGCCGGCCCAATATTGTTGAAGGCCCATGTACACCGAAAGAGCAATCATCACGCGCCCACGCGCTCCCGACCTTTGCCTTGTGGAAAACAAGAAAGAAACGAATTTGTAGGCGATTATATATAGAGCGAATATAGCAGAGAGGTCCGGAGTCGTCGTTTTCAGACACGGGGGGAGAAAACGGAGTGATCCCTTGCCGAACAGAGAATCAGAGCCGAAATGGAGGCCGAGTTCAAGGCAATGCTCGAAGATCTCGATGTGCTCGAGCAATCTCTCTCGGACCCTTCTCCGATCCACAAGGTTTTTCAATTACGCGACGCGTTTCTTGTTTCTGATTCCGTCCTCTCCGAAGTTTATCGAGAAAATTGAGTGTTCAGGTGGATTTGCTGGTGTTTGTTTGACTGATCTGTTGGTTGAGATTCGAATCGAGAGATTGTTTCGCTGTGGCGTGGGGGAGTGATCTTGGATTTGGATTCCTGATTTCGTATATTGGTTTTTGATTTCTCAAGAGCTGAATTTGTGCATGCACTGCCATTGGTTTTACTAGATTCTCTGTATACTGGCCTTGCTCTGAATTTTCTGAATTGCGATTTGTTTGATCGGTCATTTGGCTTTTTTGTTGCTCCAAATGTACATATCTCGAGATTTAGCATTGTTCTCTTTGGTATTTGTTGCTCGTTGCGTGGAGGTATAGTGGGAATGCCCATCTTCCTTTGTGGCTCTGTATCGTTTTTAGTTTATGGATGAGCGTAATTAGTTTTGCCTTTTGGTTTCAAAGTTTGAAATTTTAATTGGATTCAGTTGGGTGTTTGTTTATGCTTCTGCTATTCGAATTTGGTTTACCTTCATATCATCAAGTCCCAAAATTCTGTAATTTTATACTTGCATGCTTAGCAATCTAAAAAGTGTACGAGATTCTGAATTGAGTGCTTGAGGTTAATTACGTGTTTCACATGACTCCTTTTATGGGCTTTGCAGCTGCGATCACGGATTGACAATCTCTCAAGTCTTGCTAGCTCCACACCCGTTCGCCGTTCAAAAGTCAATGTATGTATCCTATGTACTGCCTTTCTCCCTTAACGCTGCTTGTATACGTGTTAAAGGTTCTGATGCAAGTGGTTTCGGTGGCAGGAGTTGAGTTCGGAGGTTGTGGATAGCAATCCTTACAGCAGGCTTATGGCACTTCAGCGCATGGGTATTGTGGAGAACTATGAAAGAATAAGAGAGTTTTCAGTCGCCATAGTTGTCTGTACTTATCTCTTACTTCGTCATTTTCCATTTTCTTTAGAAAGTAACATGATTCTTAGCATTTTTCTTTTCCCAAGTATATTGTGAACTGTCTTGCGCCTGTATGATGTTGCTAGTCACATGTTATTCATGAGAATCAGTGAAAGGATATCTTAAAGCACATATCGTTCTTAACATTCGAACATTGATATGACAGGGAGTTGGTGGTGTTGGAAGTGTTGCGGCTGAAATGTTGACAAGATGTGGCATAGGTCGCCTTTTATTGTATGACTATGACAAAGTTGAACTGGCTAACATGAATAGATTGTTTTTCCGTCCGGATCAGGTACTGTATGATCTCTTCTCATTGATTAGGATTGTCTACAGGATTCGACACTGATGGGTTCATATGATTGCTGTAGGTTGGTATGACGAAAACTGATGCTGCTGTTCAGACCCTTGCAGAAATCAACCCTGATGTTGTGCTTGAGGCAAGTATTCTGTGTGATCTCTTTTATATCCCGTGTTACCTTATTTTGTGTTGTTTGCTGATCGATCATACCTTTTGATTTTAATGGAAAACGAGAAATTCTTTGTATGTTTCCGAATGAGTGCTGGTATCAAGTGAACGATCCTTGATATATAAAAGTTGTTTCTTTTGGTTTGTTCTGATATATAACCGTCAGGTTTATAAGTGGAAATGAGTTGCTTTGGGTCTCTGCAGTTTTCTGCATCGAGTATTTGATTCAGTGGAAATAATCTCTGTTCATGGTTTTCTAACTGTTTTCTTTTCTTTTATATCAGAGTTATACACTGAACATAACAACATTGCAAGGCTTTGATACTTTTGTGTCGAGCTTAAAGGATAAGTCGTTCCGTCCGAGCAAAGAAGGCAATGGCGTAGATCTGGTTTTGAGTTGTGTTGATAATTATGAAGCTAGGATGGCCGTCAATCAGGTAGTTAATACTTCTTTATCATATTAGTGCCTTTTCCTTTGTGTTAGCGACTCCATGCGTTCAGTGTTTTTCTATTTGTTTGACAGTCGTTTCATCTTATAGAGACCTACTTGATATCAATTTGTTAATAACATCTATTTATGCTTATGCTTGGTAATGGAAATTATGTTAAACAAGTTTAAATGTATTTCTGATTTTGAGTATTCCTTTGAAATACAGGCATGCAATGAGTTAAGTCAAACGTGGATGGAGTCAGGTAAATACTGTTTGTAGATTTCATTTTCTCCAAGACATGATTCTGTCAATCCTCAAGACATGTATGCAGATGTCTTTGAATTGTTCTTGTGTTTGATTGGGTCCCCCATGTACATACACGCTCCTGTCTTTGTAGCTGTTACGTTCAGTTTGTTTCTTGTTGAATTGCTGAAAGCATACTGCTGTTTGGTTACATGGCTGAAAATTAAAGCATATGAGGTGATTGATGTCCATAACATTGGTCTCGTCACCATTGAATGCTTCTTTCATCGAGTGTAGAAGGTGGTATGAAATGCTGTCTACATTGACGTAGCGCGAACTGAACTTGAAATTAATCAGAAACAACCAATGCTAATTCTAGTGTTTTACAACTTCAGCTCTTATTGATGGGGCCCAATAGCGGAACGTTTTGCACATAATCTCTGTGCATGCACGTATCATAATAGATTTTTGCCATTGTATATCATTTTTCATTGTCTGCCTCAACTTTAGAATATCTAACCCTTTTGGCTGTTTCGTTCCTTTGTCCCCTTTTAGAAAGTATGCCTTTCTGTGCATATGAGCTACAGTGTGTGTGATCTGTTTTAAGGCTAACACAGACATCATTTTGAACAGGTGTATCAGAGGATGCTGTTTCAGGTCACATACAGCTGCTGGTTCCAGGAGAAACTGCCTGCTTTGCTTGTGCACCTCCTCTGGTATATCTTTTTTTTTTCAAATTATATTAATTATGCAAACTATATTCATGAGTAGACTGCTTTAGGTGTCTGAATCTTTGTATTAGCGGGGGTTAATTTCTTTTGCATCTTTGCTGTATAATCTTTTTCATGTGGCAGGTTGTGGCATCTGGTGTGGATGAACGCACTCTCAAACGGGAGGGTGTCTGTGCTGCATCTTTACCAACTACAATGGTAAAGTTTAACCTGATTCTTTGCTACCATTGTAAGCAGAACTACATTATGAAAGAGTTAGCAAAATTTGGCCTTTAATTAAATTACTCTCTGATATTTACATAGGCAAATTGTTAGGGTTAGCTCAGGTTTGAGTTTATTTTAGCCTTGCTATGTCTTAATACTTCTTGTAATTGCTTCTGAGATTCCTGCGTGATTTTGACAATTCAGGGAGTTGTGGCCGGGCTTCTGGTTCAAAATTCTCTCAAGTATTTGCTAAATTTTGGGCAAGTTTCTCCATACCTGGTAAAATCCTATGCACGAGTTTACTTATTACTCTCTTTATATTTGTTGTATCTTTCTCTTGTCCATGAAAGGCGTCTTGTTTGGTGATATAGCAAAGCAATATCATTACCATACACATCATTTCAACTGCAATAGCTCTATCACGTGATTTGATTTCAGGGTTACAATTCTCTCAAGGATTTTTTCCCGACCATGCAAATGAGACCAAACCCACAATGCGCTAATGTTGCTTGTCTGGAACGACAGGTAACTAAAAGTAGATACGCCTCTAGAATCTCGGTTCTTCTGCCAATATGTATGCACATGTTTCGTACTGATGATATGATATCCCGAAATGCAGAAAGAATACATGCTTGCAAAACCAGCCAGGGACGCAGCGGCTAAAGCGAAGTTGGAGGCTGAAGCATCATTAGTTGGTACCGAAGAACCACTTCACGCCGATAATGAATGGAACATAAGGTACAAAGATCATATGATATAATTTTTTTCCAGCTCCCCAGTTGTATGTATTTGAAAAACTGATGTGTTTTTTTTTTCTCCAGTGTTGTGGTGGACGACAGCGAGGCAGATAATGCAGGTGGAGGTACTTCTTCAAGTTCAGGTATTTCTTCTGAGTTTGAACTTATTTTAACAAAACTGGACTTGTCAAATTTTACGAAGTGGACGCTTAATGTTCTGTCTCGCCTCGAATTCGAACCTCAAGTTTGGAGAGAGACATGCACATAGGATTCCCCGTCCCAAGGATAAGTCTGGGTTTCGGCCGAGAATACCCAATTACCCAAAAAAAAATTTTACGGAGTAATACGTTATGTATTATGTATCATTGATAGCTGAATGAGTATCCTAATATCATAAAGAATAGATAAAACCAAACCAAATAGAAAACATAGTAATATCTAGAATCCATACAACTAAAACTCACATAATTTTCAGTCGGGGAATCCCAAAAGGTCTGGGAATATCCCATGCTTGGCTATTGAAGACAAGGTTATTTTACCCGGAAATGTTAGGAGTTAAAAGGACTATACTTACTTGGTGTTTATACCTTCCGATTTTCTGATTAGTTTTCGGTCATGTACGCGGTAAAACTCGGGTTATGAACTCATGCAACTTGTGGTATAAACTCGCGAGCGAATCGGGAAGAAATGGTTTGAATTAATTTCTACTCGGTGGTTTCGAATTTCCAGGTACGCTGCCGGAAGGGCTTAAGCGTGAGCTTCCAAGTGCGGATGAATTCAAGGAGGAGACGACAGGTGCTACTGCAGAAGCAGAGGAGGACGACCTTGATGAGCTGAAGAAGCAGCTTGAAGCTCTTAATGCTTCTTCTGCTTAAAATAGGCATCAAACCCCAAAATTTTAAAAAAAGGTGACGTTTTATCCCTTTTTATTTTTAATTTATTTCTGTAGAGAACAGAAAAAAAAAACTTATTTCAGAGTTTATGCTCCTCTATTTACACAAAAAAAGACCTAGAATCATATGTTTTATTAATTCAGTGTTTTCTGTTTTGATTCCGGTTTGGTCCTTTGTACTGAGGTGTGGAATAAAATGTTCCAAATCCAAATTAAACAGAGACTTTACCAACACTTAAACACAGAATATAAACTACTGGTTATAATTTTTTAAAATCAAATCAATAAAAAAAAATCTTCAAAACAAATCATAACTGAGACAGAACAAAATCTGACCCGAACAAAAAGTTGTCACAAAAATCAAATTGTATTTATAATTTGTAAGAAAAAACAAAACACAACAAAAATATCCGAGGTGAAACATAACCAAACCCTGAATTTCAATTGGAACATTTTTTTAATTCATAAAAATATAATTTTTCAAATTTTACAATATATCCCATATAAATACATTAACTATTTAAAACTTCCATTATAAAATTTCAATCGAAAAACAATAATACTAAAATATATTGATTCTTTTTCAAACTTTCAAAATATACTTTTTAAACTTATAATTTGAAAGTATAAATATTTTGATATTTAATACCATTATAAGTAAAAATACGATTACGTTTTTTTAAATTGTCTTTGTATAAAAATTGTGAAGAAATTGTGATATTTATATGAATATTCATATGAATTAAAACAATTATGTAAATTTGAAATTTATATTTTGAAATTTCCGAAAGTTTTTGGCGTATATCAATATTATTATTCTAATAAAATTCAGGCATAAAGTGCTCAAATAATTTGTGAATTTATATAAAAAAAGATTTTTTTGTACTTATTTGAAAATGCTGTAAACTTATGCAATTTTTATAAGACTTTCCTTTTTGTTTAACAGGTATATCGTATTGAAATGTAATCTTCTTATATTAAAAAATACAGAGACAAAAAACGAAAAAGGAAATATTTCGGATGTTCAAATTTTCTCTTTTTTATTTATAAAAAATTAAAAATAGAAGGAAAAAAAGAGAAGAAAACAAAAAGGAAATGCCTTGGGCGGGACGTACAAACAGGTAGCAAACACCACATTATAAAAGCCCCCTGTTTCCATATTTCTCTCTTCTCCTCACTCACTTTTGCTTCTTCTGCATCCGATTTCTTTTCGCAACTTCGATCCAAACCTTCGTCTTCTTCATTGAATCCAATCACGCATTCATTGTTCGAATCAAACGCGAGAAGACGACGACATGGGTACGACGAGATCGGAAGTGAACCACTTGGTTGCTGCTGCAATAAAGCTGGCCAGTGCGATCAGACCAGCCGACGATCCCAAGAACACGACACACATCGCCAGATTCATCCATGTCCTGAAACAGATAAAGGGGTTGTCTCTCTCCGCCGAATCTCTTCGCTCGAGTGCCGTACAAAAGTTGCAGGGTCTGAAAAACCATAGGAGCCAAAAGATACGGACAGAGGTTAGAAGCTTGTTCTGTTCGCAGAGGGTCATAACAGCAACACCCATAAGCGAGAAATCTGGTCGGAATAAGTCGTTAGAAGTTTCTGGAAGTCCGAGATTTGAGATTGTGTAAGATTTTGGAGATGTTTGAAGCGGCGAATAAATCGGCCGACGCGGCCAACGTGAAGGGCATTCTCTTGGGACAGGCAGAGACGTCTCGATGCGTAGAAACAATGTCAAAGCTAACGGCTTTTTCGGTAAGGAGGAAAGTTCTTGAAGAAAACCGCCTCGTGGAGAAGCTTCAACATCTCACCAAGCATAAGAACCGCAAGATTCGCTCTGCCGCATCTCATCTGCTTCACCATTGGAGCGAGAGAACAACGGATCAAGAACAGAAAGATTCTGCCCTTAAGAAGAATCCCGACTGCAAAGCTGTTCAGACAAGGCCTTCCCCTCCTACCCAGATGAAGAAGAAGAAGCTGCAGCAGAATGATCCGATGGAAGTTTCCGGAAAGCCGAGGGAATCAGCGGTGGAAAGGGTCGAGAACAAGAGAGAGGGATCAATGGAAAGAAGTGATGTATTGGAGGTGTTTGAAATAGCAAAGAAAGCAGCAGATGCGGCCAATGTGAAAGGCATGCTCTTGGGTGAATCCGAGGCATTGCGATGTGTGGATGCTCTGTCAAAGCTCAAGACTTTACCTGTGGAGATGGGGATTGCGGAAGCAAACCGTTTGAAAAAGAGACTGGAGAATCTCACGAAGCACAACAACAGAAGGATCCGCTCTTCTGCCACTGCCCTTCTTCGGCATTGGAGGATCCAACGTACGGCCGTGCCTTAGGCTAAATAGGGGGGAAAAACTTCAAAGATGGCCTTATTTTTTTGGTAACGGGATTTTTGGTTAATATGGGTTGTTCTTATGTGATGATGGCGCGTTATCAGTCTTAGGCTTTGAATGGAGATAGCTTTTATTTCGAGTTTTTGGTTTTAGTTTTTGGATTTTAGTTTTTAGTTTTTGGCTTTTGGATTTTATAATATTTGAAAACTCAAAAAAAAGTAGTTTTTAGTTTTTCACTAAAATGGCTTTCCAAATTTTTAGGAAAAGTAATTTTGTAAAAACTTGAATGTTGTTTTTTTTGGATTTTTGGATTCTAAAAACTCCCACCATTCAAGGCCTTAGTTTTATCATCGTATTCACTTGAAGAAGGAATATTTTTAAAAAAGAACGAATGGACAAAAGCACTTTAGTGTGGGTGAAATGAAATATCAAAGGACAAAATTAACTTGTAAAAAAGGAAGAGAAGGAACAAGAGACTAGTCTCTGTTGTTTCACATGAACGTATGTGTTTCTCGTGAGAGTACCCAAAACAAAATGAAGAAAACTACAACCAGCATCTCTCTCTTGAGACAGCACAAGCTTCAACTACACATTCTTGAGGCTTTCTCTCCCATCTCTTCTTGTTATCTGCGCACATGTTGAAGACAGTATCAGACCAAGTCTTTACAAACCCATGAGTAGAAATAGAAAAACGGCCAAATTGTAAAGAACCGAGGAGAAGATAGTTCTTCATATTGTTGGAAATGTCTAAACTTTTTGTGAATATAAAAAAGCCAAAGGCGATTCAACAGCTTTGAGTTGAGAACCTACATCCCATTTGTACTTGGGCACTTCGTGATATATTATATAACAGTTCTTTGACATGGATGCACTTATGGGGAACCAATATCTCTCAAGGCTAGGGATGGACTGTCTGAAACTTATGCCTGGTTGCTATGATTTGGGGTACGCACAAGAATCGGAAAGATTTGGTGAATGATATCTAACTACCTTGTAAAAAATTGAACAAGAAGGGCAACGAAATTCAAGGATAGTTGGTCAAAAAACAATCTACATGGCTCGGATTTCTTGCTGAAGTGCAAGCATACGATTTCTTATAATAATCGGATCGATCGGCGGCATGTGTTCCCAGAAGAGAGCAAGCATTTGCTCTCTTTGTTCTTTTTGGCTCTCTATGGCTAGGATTTCTTGCGAAATAGCCGCCAAAAAATGAGATTCTTGCCGAATCCGAGTTTGCTGCTTGAAGTGGATATAATGGATGAGAAAAATTCAGAGAGATCCAATCTATGTCGGTAATTAAGCATCGCCATTAAAGGCACGAAACTAATCAATGCACGAGTATGCATTCAACATGGGAAGCAAACGCCTAGAAAACAGTAGCAGCAGCAACGAACACCAACTTCCATCAATGCCCAACGAATTACTATTTAAAAAAAAATCACTTTGACGGTGGATGAGAAGTAAATGGTTGAAAGGCGTAACCTTGAATAGAGCAAGTGGTCAATGAATTACCTAACCAGAACCGACGATAATGTTGTTAATCGGGATAAAGATCAGCTTGACGAAGAAGCCAACGAATCCCATCACTACAAACCCGATCGCCGTTCGGATCGCAACCTTTGTGAACTCTGCAACCAAAAGCAACCAAAAATGTCACCATCGAATTATGAAACTCGCAAATCGCTCTACCAAAACCATGAATCAGAACATATCTTCACAATTAGAACCAGAGGGATCACAAAATCCGCAGAAAAAAATTGAATCAAACAGATCTCAATCTCCAGATCATGGACACGACAATCCAAAAAGAAAAAAGAAAAACGCAGATCTTACGAAGACAGGTCGAGCAAAATACCTTTGCGATCCGGCTTGTGGCAACGCTTGACGAGGCGAACACTGTCCTTGGCAAAGTCTCTGAGAGGGTCAACGACGGAATCAATGGCGTCCATGACGAATTTCCTCCTCAGCTGACCTGAATTCGTAGATTTTTTTTTTTGTTCTCCAGAGCAATACCGAGCGTTTCGAAAGATATAGAAGAAACGAGGAGAGAGAGACAAGAGAGAGAAATTCACGTCACAAAGGTCTTGAATAACCAATAGAATTTTGACAGCTGGATCAAGTTTGCCACATCACCATCCGTTCAGATCTTCTTGGGCTCATATTTGGGCTTATGTGCTCTTGGGCCTTTGTCCATCAGATCCATTTCGCTTAACCCTTCTCATCTCTGGGAAAAAAAAATATACCAATATGTATACATATACACACACAAACCGTGAAAATAATTAAAAATAGATAATCATGATTAGAATATATGCTGAAACAGATGAAAAATACGGTTCGGTAGGTTGTATAAATTTAAAATAGTTGAATAATGCGTTATAGTATTATTTGAATGCTTATGTATAATTTCATATTCTAAACAATTATATATGTTTATCCTATTTGAGGAGTTGAGCAGACATGCAGAGACGGCTAAAAGGGATGCAACTGTACATGATCCCCACATTTTTATAATTCTTTATGTTAATAATTATTTTTTTTGGTAATAGTAAGAAATCCATCGCACCGCTCTCAGATCCATTTCGCTTAACCCTTCTCATCTCTGGGAAAAAAAAATATACCAATATGTATACATATACACACACAAACCGTGAAAATAATTAAAAATAGATAATCATGATTAGAATATATGCTGAAACAGATGAAAAATACGGTTCGGTAGGTTGTATAAATTTAAAATAGTTGAATAATGCGTTATAGTATTATTTGAATGCTTATGTATAATTTCATATTCTAAACAATTATATATGTTTATCCTATTTGAGGAGTTGAGCAGACATGCAGAGACGGCTAAAAGGGATGCAACTGTACATGATCCCCACATTTTTATAATTCTTTATGTTAATAATTATTTTTTTTGGTAATAGTAAGAAATCCATCGCACCGCTCTTCGGGTTAAACCCCGCCCGATTCTGCGAGTCAGACAATATCTCGTACAGTAAACCTTCTGACACCGCACAATAGCCAGAAAACCACGCGTAATAGGTAAACCAGCCGAAACTGATCGTCTCAGAAGGAATTGAACCTATAACCTCGTGTAGAAAAGATTTGTCACTTTCTAATTGGGGACTTTTTCCTAATTATTTTTATTTTTACCAAACTCCCAATATAAATCATAATTCTTTTATAAGTTTAAATTGTATTAAATACTTGATTTCTTTTTTCTAAAAGTGATCTATTAAATATGAAGTTATTATTGTAAAATATATGTCTGTTTTGTTGTCCAAAGGTTGTCATGTTTTCTTCACTTTTTTCATAATATAAAAACATGCTTAATGATCATTGTTTTTTATCTTAATTATTCATTTATAAAAACATACTTTGTGATTATTGTTTTTTCATAATATAAAACATATTTAATAACAATTTATAAAAAGTAACAGTTTTTCTCTTATTTCAATAATTTTAACCGTCCAAATAGTTAACTATTTTTTCGTTTATATTAATTATTCTCATTTTAAAAATAAATAAGTATATATATATGTGTTAATTTTTTAATAAAACTAACTGTTGAGGAAATATAATATATATTTATGAATATAACGGACAAAACAACGTTTCTTGTTTTCTTTCAATAAATGTAACCGTCAAAATAATTAATTATTCTTTTTTTTTTTGGTATTAGTGATCCTTACTTTAAGTTAAAAAATTTGATGAATTTTTCAAATTTAAAAATATTTCTATTTTAATTAAGAAATTTTTGTTATAATATTCTTTAATTTGTTATAAAAATTTCACTGTTTAGGAAGTATAATATTATAATTTTAATTATTGTTTGAAGTTATAGTTTTTAGTATATTTTTAAGAATAGAAAATAATATTTTAAGAAAACTAAAGAATAATTCGTTTTATTTTGTAAAATAAATTCAAAGAAAAAAAGATGTAACGGTTTCTGTCTCTTCTTTTCGAATTGTAACCGTCAAAATAATAGTTTTGTCTTTTTGTGTTTATTATTTATGTTTTAACATTATAATTTGAGAACTTTTTTTTTATTTATTTCCAAAATATTAAGTTTTAAAAGAATTTATTAATTAGAAGTATATTTTTTTAGATATTATCGAAATCTAGAACATAATATGGAATTTTTATTTAATAAAAACAAGACAGTCAATTTATTTTAATTTTAACAAAATAATTAATATTTTTTAAATCTTTTTAATAATATGTAATACCAAAATCTGAACTATTGAATATATTTATTCAATTGTTTTTTTGTTCTTTCTTTATCTTTTGCATAAAACAATTAATGATTCTTATTTTTTTATATTTATTACATATGTTTTAAAATTTGAATTTAAAAGAGTCGTGTAATACTTTTTCAAAATAAATGTGTTTCCAAATACATAATAATCATTTTTTTAAAAATTTAATAGCCTACTCTATTTTGTTGTTGAATGGAGTTCTCAAATTTTAGTAACATAATAACTATAAAACCATTTATCTAATATTTGTAACGGAAACATTCCAAAATGTCAGAAAAAAAAACGAGAAGTGCATGAAAGAACCAAAAGGCAGAAATAAATATGACACCATAAAAACACAAATTCTTCATTCCAATACTCTTACAACAATCAAGACTTTTTTTCTTCGGACCAATCTGAAAAAAAAAAGTCTTGACCTTTGCTTTGTATATATAAAGGGAAATAAACGCAAAACGAAGCAAGAAAAAAAATAACAAAGAAAAAGAAAAATGAAAGGAAAAACCATCTAATTGGTTTTGATTTTCTTTGGCCTTCGCTTGTAAACAAGAATCCCCTTCTCTTTCTGAGTCCCCTCCTCCTTCTTCTCACTTGTTTCACCTTCTGCAGCGTTTTCCAATGCTTCATGCTCCGAACCCATTTCATGATCCTCCTTTGATTTCCCCTCAGTCTCTTCCTTTGCTTTCATAAACGAATCTTCCATCTCTGTCGTCTCTTCCTCGGTGAAAGCTCGAAGAAACTCCAATGGCATGGCTGCAGGGTCAAGCTCCAGTAACCCTTTTGGAGCATTCACGGATTCTTCCCCTGTAATCAAGTGAGAAGCCACCTGGTGCGAGAACCGAAACAGTTCCTTCTTGGGAAATGTCATAGCCGACATACCCTCTGGATGGCGGCGAAAGATTGTCCTAAAGCCGGAGACTTTGACGAGGGGCACGACCCTAATGATGCCGAGTTCTTCGTCAAGTTCCTCCAGAACTTGAACCATATCATACTTCCTGACAACTTCTTCAGGAGTTGAGCAGTCCCAATCTGGTGACCAGTTTCTGTATAAAGCCCAAACCTGTCCCTTTCTGGGGTAAATCCGAACAGCAGACTTTGCACCTTTTGTCCACTCAACCTTGTGGGAGAAACTATTGAGGGATTCATTCAACTTTCGGCGCCTCCCCACGTAGAAAGTTCCGCTGGTCTTGTAAAAGCCAGAGCCAATCCAGTTCATCGGACCCAAATCCTCATTGCTTCTTGAGTTAAGCCAAGAAATGGACAGCTTGAAAGGTTTCCGGGACACAACACTGTGGATCATAGCGTAGAAACGAGGCATTCCATCAGAATCGTCGAATGAAGCCCATACCTCGTTTTCTTTGAATGAAACCTCCGTCCTGTCCTCATCAAAGTTGTAGAAATCAGGATCAGGAACAGTCATGGTTAACGCACTAAGGTCCTCCTCCGCCTCGTCCACCTCAGTAGAAGGATCTGGCAAAGATGACTCTCCAACCCGAGTGTTTGAGCTTTCACCCTCTGCTATCTTTTTCGCCTTTTTCTCCGACAAGTTTTGTGCTTCGGGCACAAACTGATGCTGTTCAAATATCTGTTCTATCATCCTCTTCGCTTTTCCTATTAACGAGTTGCGGAGCATTTTAGGAAACTGTGTGAGGTTCACTGCAACAGGAGGTTGAGGTTTCAGACTTAGAGCTCTTGAGGAAACCTGAATCGGTTGACTTCCTCCACCACCATGAAACCTTTGTTGGCTAAAAGGAACTCGGGCACTCAAGGAAGGTTGAGACAATGCATTTTCATCTCCTCCTCCCGGTGTTTGTACGTCAGAAACACCCTGAGCCCCCGAGAATTGTCGAGCCGATTGACTTTCTCCGCCAACCAAATGAACAGTAGAAAAACTCGAGGACTGCCCGCCATAGGCGTCGGGTTTTGCAGGCATTGTGGCCGTATTGGCTCTTCTGCTCTGTTGTTTAACAGAATCCCATGTACTGAAGAAGGGACCCGTTGCTGGGGGCGGAGCCTGTGTAGCTTCGAAGGGCTCTCCACAATCAGGGCAAAATATGCTTTTGTTTAAGTATTCCCTGTAGAATTCGTACATTATGCTACAGGATTTGCACATTGTCCAAAAGGTATCCTCCCCTGTGGCTGGAATCGAGGATGATGATGATGAAGAGGAATCAGCTTGGTTGTTCTTCGGGACACTCATGAAATCATGAAACACGGTCGGTTTTCTGGGACCGTGTCTCGGTTGGATTCTGCATCTAGTGTCATAAGCCTGTTTCCTGGATTGGTTACACAACACCTTCCAGGCTTCAGACAAAAGCTTGTATGCTTCATCAGAACCGGGAGCTCGGTGTTGGTCCGAGAGGAGAGCAAGTGCTAATCTTCTGTACCCGTTACGGATTGTTTCATCATCAGCTGTTGGATCCACTCCTAAAACAGCATACCAGTCGACTTCTCCATTGATTTTCTTCTCTGCAGATAAATTCACATCGATACTGGCCTTGAGGCAAGCAAGACCAACAAGCGACGGGTCGAGACTTTCTGCCTTGGAAGCCGATTCTTTGGCTCCTGCAATGTCACCGGCTCTGAATTTCTCCTCTGCAAGTTGTTTTTCCTTAGTGGCTTCTGCTCTTCTTCCTTCCATTTGCTTGTTTTCTTTAGCTTCTTTGTAAAACCGTACGGGAAGAATCTCGCTGTAAGATCTTTTCAACAATCGCTTTCAATTCGGATTTCTGCAAGAAAACGATATAATAAATGGATGGTCACATAAGGAAAACATTCTACAAGCATGTAAGTTAAACTAATCTAGGTTTCGTATAAAGATCATCATTCATTTCCCAACATCCTTATAATCTATCACATGAAAGCTCTTAACATTATACGGTTCTAAAGGATATCACCCTTTGGGATGAACGTGGGGAAAAACACGGAAGATCGAAATGAGAACTATATTGGTAAAACAAGTAGGTTTGGTATGATTAAAGGACTAGACAAGTGAGCAATGAAAGCCTCTGATCCAACATAATGAAGGTGGAAAACATAAACTGTTCAATCAGCATGCATTCATGAGAGAATCTACAGACTGTAATCAGGTCATAACACCAAGAGATACGATTGAACTAACGCCTTTCGCGCCAAAGATACGAGACTCGTTGCGCGGGAAAACAAGCCGTGGCATAGAAGAAATCGATCGAGAAACAAATATGTGAAAAAGATCCGTTTGAGTCTTGATAATTGGAGGAAAACCATTTGGTAAAAAGGTGGTTCCCTAGTTTGCTAATAGCATATGCTCCATGAGATCTCTTCACTCTCTCCACACTTAAATTTCAGGATCTTTTAGCCTTTCAAACTTCTCAAATTTATGATAAACAAACTGTCAAAACAAGGAAAAAACGAGATTACGGGCAGAGAAAAAACGTTTTTTTGCGCGCGAAAGAACGTTGGAAACCCGGGATTTAGCCTCAGAAAGGATTCAGCGTCAGGTTTTGCATCAATTCAGTAGTGAATTCCTTTTTCTTAAGTCCCAAGAATACTTGAGACTAGTCATCAACAAACATTAGCTTCACTACACAATCCACAAAACAAAAGGGAAACACAAGAAGAATGCCCTAAATCTGATCTCCAAACAAAATTCAGACACAAGAGAAACGAACAACCTCGACCCACTTATCAAGTTGACTAAAATTTTCCAGGAAAATGCAAAATATCAGTGAAGAACATGAAAATCAGAGTACCCAAATTACCAATTCGACTGCTTGGCCTCATAAATCCTTGTTATGGAGAATCCATGATCATGAAATGCCGAAAACGCCATGCACAAAGAACATTTATGGCAGAATATAAAAACACGAATAAAGTGCAAGCAACAGTGAAACGTAACGCAAAGGAAGATACCAGAGCGGCTTTGAGAAATTCAGAAATCACAGGGACGCCATTGCCAAACAGCTTCAACTGTGTGTGTGTGTTTTATTTTGTGGCTTCTTCTGATTAGGAGGAGAAGCTGGAAATTATGCAATTTTCTTCTTCCCTCTTCTCTTAAACTAAAGCCTCAAGTGATGGAAAAAACAAGAGGAAGAAATACGAATTTATAGAAGCAAAAAGACCATACAATGTTCAACATGTGGCAGGCAGTCGAATACATTGCTTTATATGGTAAATACACATGTAGATACTGTTTGTTTTGGTGTATAACACAATTATGGTTTTTCCTAATATTTTTGTATAAGAGATAATATTTATATTATGCATTCATGTGGCAGCGTTTCATTATTTATCCTTTTTACTGCGTAAATTTAAATTAAAAATTTAACACATCTGTACTGTATGTTTTTTTTTTTACCCTTTCCGGTTTTAAATATTGTGAACCGTCACCTCCCCATCTAACGGGCATGAAGGTTTTTTTTTTTTTTTCACTTTGCCACAAATAGGCATAAACGTGTATATATATATATATTTAGATTTTATTTCTTTATTAAGGTTATTTATTATGATATTTAGTACTGCTGGATTTTCTTGTTTAGGGATTAAAAAAAAACGAATCCTGTGGACCGTGGACCGTGGACCCTTCTCAAATGGAAATTTTTTCAAATGTTTCCCCAAAAAGCGAGATTTTATCTATCCAAAAAATACATGGAAACATTTATTTATTTCATTTTTAACCTAAGAGGAGTAACCTAATCACTGTTTATTTCAGCGAAAATTCCAACTAGCAAAGGGTGGCGCGTGGGCGTGTGTTGATTGTTTCTATTTCCAATTCACAAACGTTGTAGCCTTTCGGTTGCGTGGCTCTCACGCGATTGCGTTTGTTCATCCGCGAAGCCTTTCTTTACGAGCTTTTTTAACCTATCGGAACCCACTGTGCATGTACATATGCGTGTATATACGTATATTTGTGTGTGTACATACAAGGAAATTTTACAAAGAACCGAACTTGTTCAGACCCAGAATAGGTCAGAGACTGAGGCCGTGTCTGTTTAGAATGGTCAAGAAGTAGAACATGGAAAGTCCAAAGGCCATCAACCTTTGCAAGAGCGGCATGGCAAATGGCCAAGGTTTCCTGGTGCGGAGGAAGTGGAATAATCAACAAGTCAGTGAAGAGCATCAATGGCAGTAATAATGTGGAAGAGGAGATTAGGGTTTTTGTTTTGTTCTCTCTCCTCTCTCATTGTTTAGCTCCTGAGGAAGAATTGGATATTTCCTGTGTTTGGTTCCTTCCATCCGCATTGGAGTTTCCTTCACAAACATCCACTAAGGTAGCATTTTCTTGGTTTCCTACAAAAGGAATCAGGTATAAATACACTGCAAGGACAGTGCGGAACCCGAAAAATTGTCAGATGGCCCGGTTTCTCTGCAGGTTCGAACAATGAAGGGTAGAGAATGAGAGGAACAACAGGCGGTCCAGTGGCAACCATAAGAAAGGCTGACAAATCATTAGAAGGGTTGAACATTGAACAAACCTGAGTCAAGATCGCCGCCTCAAGCCTGAAAACCCTCTAAGGAGATCCCTACAACTGGGCCTCGGCTCTCTAAATGGTTCTCGATGCATGAGACAAATGCCGACGTACTCTAGTAGGTTTTACCATTTGTTTCCAGAAAAAATGGCAATGAATAACTGCAAGATAAAAACCGTTTAGCTTTTGTAGACCATGAAATAGGGCCAAAAAAACCACATCTGCTGAAACACATAAAGGTAGAGGAAACAAACACTGTTGAGCAAATACTTACATATATATGAGGATGGAAACTATTCTCCAATAATAGAAACCCGTTGTGACTCCGCAAGCCGTAACAAAACCTTACATGAATGTAATTTCAAGCCTCGTCTTTTACGTAATTCTCCTAAATCACAAGCACCCCTTTGTCTACCAATTTTACTGAATCGTCAGGAAAAAGTTCCAGAAATATAATTGTTTGAAGACACCACAACAATTATTCGACTAGTGATATAGTAAACTACGTTCAGCAGATTAACAGATAGCGTTCATACTAAACTCAATCACCAAATCAACATATATGCATCAGATGTACCCAGGGATTTCATTTGTTCAAGCAAATCACATCAATACATACCCATGGTCGTTATAGTGTCCCCAGCATTCTTCTCTAACTTAAAACTTATCTGAAACAACTTACGTAAATGCAGATTATGGTCACGTACGATATGGAATACATGCGATATCGTTATCTAAGTCCAGATCTGAAGTTTCTGCCTAACAATACAGTAAACTTAGGAGTAAAAGAGAATGTTTTGACATTAAAACAAATATCTGTAAGTATTGAACATGATTTGCTTGGCTAAGTTAAGACCTAATGCATGTGTTGTACGCTGATCCGTTAGCCGGATATAGTATCCATGCTGCATGTTTCTTTCTTGAACTTACGTAGGAGAGTTTTACGAACGTACAAGAATGCGATGCATTATCACAACTACAATATGGAACGAAAGCAATGCACACATACAAGCGTGATCCTGCAGCTCTTGCCCAAGAATCCAGTGAAATTTGCAGCAAGAGCATCCATGTATAGCCATTTGTTTAGCAGACACCTAAGAACAGGAATTACATAGATCTATATCTTATTCAACCCGTTTCACACTTGTGACAGTAAATCTCTTTGATGTAAATTCTTAACTGTTTCTTAACGGAAATCGAACCAACTAGCGTAAAACACCCTTACCATACCTGGCTACAAAATTAATGTATAACTCATGCGTCAAACTTCGGACAAATTCACCAAATCGAGAAAATTAGTTAGTAAACTTTCCTTAACCTCATTCCAATATGCCAAGCATCTTTCTCTTATTCCAAACTTTCCTTAAGTTTAAAATCTGTATTATAACGTGACAATGAATAAACCGCATTCACATGTTCCTTCAATTAAGCTCATCAAATCCACATGTAACATACACTGTACACAGCTAGCAAATTAATAACACAAGTATTAGATATTAACGCAATAAAGAAATCACATAAAATACTTACACTCATAAGTATTGAAGCATCCTATCTTACTCCAAACTTTACATAAAACTGTTAGCAAAAAGCTTCCACGCAGGAGATGTATAAAAGCATGTATAATACAACACTCAAATTCCATTTGCGACAGTAACCTATATTTGTGAATGTGCTTAAATATTTCCCCAAGTAAAGGTCAACAAATTCAGGAATAACATCAAGACTATACATGGCAAGCAAATCTACGTACAACATGTACATGCCTTTACCTTAACGTAGACGTAGTCTTAACCCATAAAACACCTGCAAATCCTTGTTCTAACATCCCGAGCATTTTTTTTCTTATTCCAAACTCTATTGAACTTTAGGCAAAAGCTTCAGAACCAAACTAGTACAATGTTTTATCACATTGTTTGGACATCACATTTCGGACAGAATCTTTATTCGTGTACAGACACCAAATCTATCTTAGATGAAGTTTCAGCAAATGATCTCGTAAGATCCGAGCTATACTATACTCAATCAAATACTCTGTCATAAGGTTGATCAAATCCAGGTACAAGATCCAATCTAAAAAAACACCATGAATCCTTCTTCTACTCTACAATTCACCAATCGACAGTGTATCTTGTAACACATCTATCCAGTATCTTATTACATTAACTATAATTGGAACAAAATCATCACAACCCTTTTCATTAGTTTCAACATCTAAACACATAGAACCATAAGAATTTCTCGAATCTTACAAAACCCTAGAATGAGAAAAGCTCAAACCCATGTTCAAATCAGTGAGTCGGGTACTGAGATCTTACCATCCCGAGCGGAAACCTCGGCAACAGACCAATGACAACGTGCCAGATAACGCCATAACCGAAAAGGTTACGACTCGTACCGACAAGGAGAACAACCCACGACGGCGAGACCTACGGCATGGCACCGGAAACGAAACAGATGGCGTCGCCTAGGTTCTTAGCGACGCTGAGAACAGCAATATCTGATGGCAGTCTTGATCGCCGGCGACATAGGACCGCCGAAGAGGTGGGCGACGCCGGCGACGGACAGAACCCACATCGCACACACAAAAACTAACCATCGGTCATTGCTCTGAGGGAGGCCATCGAGAAATCAACAATTTGTTTGAGTAAGTAATTAATTATTCAGCGGAAAATAAAATATTTTCATTTATTTTCAGTATAGTCCTTGCTCTATTGTTGTATTTTCTTAATTTATCAAACTCATTAATATATATTTTATAGTATTATTATTGAAATATATAGACGTCTAATAGCATATTGGTATATAATTTGAATATAGGCAATGAGAACACAAAGTCAAAAATAGCTTAATTGGAATAACAGATAATAATCATAAAACAAATAAATTATTATTATTGTTGTTGTTGTTATTATTATTTGTTCTGGATTTTCTTTGGAAAAAATATAAAAAGATTCTGTAAGTTGCATATGGACAGTCTTTGTTAATCTACTTCCCAATGCAGAATTGAATTATGGTTATTATAATACTAAAGGAATGGAAGTGAAGAGACAATGAAATAACATTTGCAAACATTCAGACAACAACCTCAAGAACTAAAAAGGATACTGCAAAAATTTTGGCTGTGTCACAAGATAACACAGAGACTGAGAAGAGAATGAGAACTATACTAATCAATGGAAGAGAAGACAGTGAGAAGAGAATGAGAACAACTAATCAATGGAAGAGAAGACACAATGAAATAACATTACAACATTCAAGGAACTAAAGAGGGTACTGCAAAAATTTGGCCAAGTTTCACCAAAAACACACACACAGAGATTGTGAAGAACTAATCAATGGAGTCGAAACTAGGAGCATACCAACCGAGCTGATCAACGAGCTTCTTCATCCTCTCTTCCTGTCCCTTGGAATCTCCAAAGGCAGTAGTGAAGGGATACACATATGTAACCTTTGTGGCCATACACCTATACGAAACCACATCTCCTTTCACCAAGAACTCCATCACATCTCTGCTAAACCCTCCTTCCACCACTGCCTCCAGATACCTCCCTTCATTTCACCAACAATCTCATCTGTAAGCTTTTTAGGGGAAGGTTGCATGTAAATCTTTCTGAAAAATAGTTCAGTTTTATTCGCGTGATCAAATCGGTAAAGGGTCTTCTTTCTCTGTGGTTTTGCATTGCATCAACTATCATATCACACCTTTGATGCCACACTATGATGATCTAGGACTTCTAGGTGATAACCTCCCCAGTGATAGATTTAAGGGTGAGGTTTGTTATCTCCTAGCATCTGAATACAAACAGTGAATTACGCCTCGTTTCAAACCCGAGTCTTGGATCATGTTTCCTTCTCTATTGCTAAACCATCTCTCCACTTGTCCACTTGCAAACCAATGAGTACAAAATAATCAATTCCTGGAGGATGTTCTATACAAATATGTTATCAAGATGATCATTTCCTTCTATCAATAACAATGTGGAATGGAATTGGAAGAGTACCGTAAGGGGTATCTTCGAGAGCCAATATCTTCGGGTTCTTCTGGGTGTTCATTATTGCTTCCTCCAATTTCTGGGTACACATCCAAAACAACATTACCAATCAGAACGTAGAAAAGCTCTGTGGCAGCAGCAACAAGAGAACATAAACCAGCAAAATTATGAGCTTGATCCGGTACTTTCAACTAAGTTGTTCCTTTTTCTTTATTTTCCATTTGAATCCTTCAGCTCCGCGTTACATTTCAAGAATCTGGAAGGGGATAAAGAAATGCAATTTCAGAAATAATCAAAGGTGGATAACCTGAATTGGATCCTCTGTATCGTTCTCTGGGATCCTCAACGGGAATGAGAAAGAAGACGACTTTGGATTGGTGGATACACATCCTGGGTTTATCGAAGGGCAAGGTCTAATTTTTCTGCACAAGGACAAAGAAAGTTAAGAAACAACAAGACACGTTCTAATGTCAGATGAGAAACACAATCGAGCACAAGACAAGAACAACCCCAAATTCCAGAGGCAAAAACAGCTTTTTTTGCGTGTAGAAAACAAAAAGAATGGGAACAAACAGATTTTGACGAAAACCCATGAGACAAAACGCAAAGAGCGAGTGACCCAAGAAAGAAATCAGATGGGAATTAAGAGATTGAATACCCATCTTGAAGACCAGTTTGCAAGAACTTGGATTGGGTGAAAGGAGTGGTGGGAGATTGTGAAGAGGAGAGAGAAGGGATTGCTAAGGCAGGGAAGGAGGAAGAGAGAGACAGAGCAAGGGCCAGAGAGATTATGTTTGGAGTTAGAGAAATTGGAGAAGATGGTCTAGGTTTCTGCAAAGAGCACAAGAACTTGGGCTTCGAGTTTGACGATGATGATGTAATTGTGGTGGAAGGTGAAGGAGGTGCTCGTGGAGGGAGACTCAGCTGCAGATTTGCGATGAAACTCATTTTTTTTTTCATCCCCATTTTTTTTCCGACAGTATATATATGTGTGATTTCAAAGCATTTGATGCACATGCGCAATTCCCATCTCCATATATATATATATATATATTACACACACGAGTGGTCAAGTGCATCCGCAGCCAATTTAACTTGTTCTTGTCAATGGAAAAGTCTGATATCTTTTCAATGGAAATAAAAATATCATTTTTTTGGCAGGAGAGAGGTGAGTTTTCTGGTTTTAGTTTACGCCAAACGTAAACTAGGTAGATGACCAAATTCATAATCATAACTCTGTAAGTGCCAATTACCCATAGCATCTAAGAGAGAGAGAGAGAAACAATACTAAAAGAATAGACAATCAAATCAAATGTTAGCTTATGTAGTATTTACAAACAATATATAGATAGATGTGTGTGTGTGTGTGCAAGGTTTTCAGCCAAACGGGAGAGATAGAGATTCACTCTCTCCTCTTTACTCATCCAAAAAATAAATAACAAATCCCACGCCAGATCTCAGGTAGGTTGGTAGGATAAAATGGTTAGCACCTCTAATCAATAAACAGAGGAAGATCACCTGTGGACGGTGTTAGTTCCCTTGTCGTTTAAGGTACAACAAAACTCCGAGCCCTGCCGCAAGAGCAGCCCCTGCTGCTACTGTCCCGTAAGCGGCAGCCCATGTGCTTGGATCCTCATTCTCTGACCTTCCATCTCTCTTGTTTTCTCTGCCTTTCTTGTAATCCAATTGCAATTTCAAACCCTGCAACCGTAACCGAGACAAGAATTTCCCCCAATATAATTGAGTTCGAGATGAATATGTTACGATAGATGTATTGGTACACAAGATTGAATACCATTCGAAATGAAAGTATCAAAGAGAAAATAAAGTAGGATATCATCATCATCGCCAAACCCGAAACCCAAGTTCTTTTGTTCTTTGCAGAAACCTAAACCATCTTTTTCAATTTCTCGAGAACGAGTCATTAACCATAATTTACACTGTTCACATATTTTGAAAGATTTAACCCAAAATCGAAATGAATGAAGAAATGCAATTCGTGCGATCGATTCCAAATAAATTTGAGATTAAGAAGTTGTTGATATCATTTTACCCGCTTTCCATGGATGCATGCCAAAAACCATCAATCGATTTTGTTGTAATCGTTTATATTAGTTGACTTATTAAGCAAGTTTCGAGTGTTACCTTCCAACCGATCGATTTCGCGTGTTCCACTGCTGCTGAGAGATCGCTATTCGATGCCAACATGACTTGGTCATTGTCTTCGTCTTCGTACTACAGAGATTTTGTGCCCCAAGCCAGCACGAGTGTATCCCAAGTATACCGGTATTGCATAATTACGATAATATCCTTATACGAAAAACTTGAAGATAATTTTTTGTTTACTTTTGGACTGATGTTTTTTTGAACCTACCATGATTTGAGGCAAGTGGTAAGGATCGATGTCATCCCCCATTCTCTGAAGAATTGCAGTTATAAGAGTTGTTAAGCTCTGTGTTTCTGCAATTTCGTCATAAGGAGACAATACGGTAAGTTTGTGTGAATTATACATAGAACCGAGTGGATGATGATTTATCTCGGATCGCTGATTACCATACCGCACATAAATCTATGCATCCGACCCTTCTTGTCCTGGATCTTGAAAGCAAATGTCTTGATATAGGAAAATGATTTTCCCATCTCTACCTCGGGAGATAATTTCATGGATCCCTCTTTGCTGCAAAAAAACAATACCCTTTATTAGAGATAAAACAGTAACCGGGTCGGGTCGAGATGAAAGCAAATGAAAGAAACCTCCTCGTCTCAACTTCATCGTCGCTAGGAGGCAAAGCCATGGCAGAATCCCAAAACTTTTGCATCATTGAGTTTGCTGTCTCGTTACTGATCCCAGCTGTACTCCCAGCCTAGTTAAAGAGAAATAGTTCATCGAAATATCCTCAACCACAAATGATTTTTGTATCAGTATATGAAAGAATAAGATTACTTATGTTCTGGAGATTTAGTTCATCAGTTATGAGCACAAAGCATAATTATTCACTTACTCTTATTTCTGAAATAAGAAAAGAACCACATCTACTCAACTATGTCTCCCTGTTCTGATGTTGAGATGAGCTTTCTGGTCATTTGAAAGAGATAGAAACTTACCGTAGTAACAGCAGCATGAGTGATGTGAATTATATCAATAACGGCAACAACATCTCCATCTGTGTAAACTGATTAAATATTAAACGGTGTACTTCAGCAGCAGAATATCATATTTAAGTTTGATTTCTTTGCAGTCTGGTTACCTTTATCTACTACAGGAAGATGCAAAAACTTTCCATCATGCATGATATGTAAAGCATCAACAATTGGCGTGTCAATTGTCGCAAACTCTGGATTTGAGGTCATGACCTGTCGAATAACTCAAGAAACAAAACAAACACAAGAAACGGGAATATTGATACAGATTCCAGAAACAGATTCAGTGAAGAAATTCAAATATATTCACATCCTAGAAAGCAAGCTTTTAGCCATGACATACAGAATACCTTCTCCACAGTAGTTGAGTCTGGTGGAAGATTCTGGGCTATGACCCGCATCAGGATATCCTTTGATCTAACGAATCAGAGGTCAAAAGACATGATGACTTACAATCAGAAGTTTGAAATACAAACTTGGTAGAGAATTTAGAGACAATTGTTCTAAACCAGAGAAAGAGCAATGGGTTCTGTCTCTAGATAAACCGAAACAGAAAATTCAGATATGGGACTCACGTGAGAATCCCATGTATCTTTTTGTTGATTATCACCACGGCTGAACTTGACTGAAACTCAACCATCTTCTTTGTTACTGCTAACACTGTCTCGTCTAATCCAACCTTTAAAACCCTGTATGATCCTTTCTGTGTTATCTAATTGAGTTGTGCATTACTCTCAAGGAAAAACATGTCCAAGAAAGCTATGATATAGTTTCAAAGAAGATATTACCTACTTTGAATTCTCTGGAACTATTGTGGAAAGTGAAGGCCTGAATACTCGTTCTCTAAGTGTCTCAATAAAAATGCTAGGGCCTGGTTATTCAGCCAAAATTCATCAGACATATTCTTCCATGCAAAAACATGCGAGAAAATACACTATATGAGAAGGCAAAATATAGGGGTCTTCTCAAATTGTTGGAAAACCAAATGGAAATATGTTATCCCAGTTTTGCAGCATACCAGAGGCAGATGTTCCCCAGTTCTTCTCAACGCCTTCAACAGCAGCAGCAATGGCCTTTCCCTTCTCGGCTGCTCTTTCCATCCGAGCAATGGCATCATATAAACACTTTGCAATATCTAGTAGGGCAATAACTTCCCCATTCTCTACAACTGGCAAATGTCTAAACTTTCCTGCAGATGAACTTGTCGGGTCAAACTCAGGAATATGACAGAGCAAGGAAGAGAACTGTCTCCCGAAGTTATCGACCTTGCACCATCTTTTGCAGAGCTTCCACAGCAATGGTGTCAGAAAGAACAAAGACAGGGTTCTTGGTCATAACTTTACATACAGGAGTTTCTTCAAGATTAAGTTCTTTGGCTATCACACTTGTTGCTATGTCCTTTACCCAAAATAGAAACACAACAACGTGATAGCCAACTTAAGTAAAGAAAATAAAAAGAAATATGTACAATTTTCAGAGAATTAATAATGAAAGGTTTACCCTGTCTGTAAGGATTCCACAAAGTAATGCTTTGGAATCAGTCAGCAGTAGTGCATCAACTCGACGTGCAGCCATCCTTCGACAAGCCTCATGTAGAGTCGTGCTATCAGGTACAGTAAGGGCCTTTGAAAGCCGTAATCTCTTTACCGTCCTTTCTCCTCCCCTCTCGCTGGTCAAACTCCTGCCCCAATACAAAAGGTAGAAAAACAAGGTGGTGTAACTTCTCCATAGAAAAGTGCTTTTGGGGTAGTGGAAAAAGCAAGTGAATGGATATCGTTCAAGAGCGTGAGACTGCCATGAGAACTTGAAAAGGATAGACTCTCGACGTTCGAATCAATTGCGAATAAGTAGAAACAATGGGAATGTTTCATAAGCAGGCAAGCCATGGTTAAAAAGTTCGAAGCAACAGAACAATGATTTGAACATTCAGAACTTTCGGTTGTTTAGGAATCTGCATAGAAGTTAGTCTAAACCAAAGAAAAAAGGGCTAGTGGTAAAAGAAAAGAGAAGGATCATCAAACTTTCCTCGGCACGCGCACCCTATACCGCAGACTATCTGGAAAGCCAAATGAGATTATATAACAATGATAAATGACTACACCAGTTTGTAATTAGTAGATAAGCTTGACTGGAAGGTTAGCAACGCCTTGAATCTCCAAAGTTCTGTAGTTGCAATAATGTATCTACCAGAGAATTAGAGAACAGCTAATGATCAATATACATTCAACCCTTTATAGAATTTTCAAACGTGATGGAACCTACTGCAGCTAATAAAATAAGGTGACACGAATGATGTATTGTGAAAGATGAGTTATAACCGCGAGATGGTTACATGGAGGAATGAGATCGTGTGAGAGGTCTCCGGGGAGGGAGGTCGGAGCCTCCACTGTCGTTGTCGGAAGCTTTCTTCCTCCCTTGGAACGGAAGTCCAGAGAATGAGAGACTTTTCCTCGACGAACCACCTTGATTAGCCATCTTCCAAGCCTTATCAACACGATCTCCTCTCCTCCGTCAAAATTCCTGAGAGATCAAACAATCACAATCACAATCAGAATTGGAATTGACGCTTCAGAATATGACAAACACTGTATAACAGGTGGAAATTCTTATCGAACGCGGAGGAATTTCAACACGAACATGAACAATGAGGGGATCAGGAATCCGACAGACTAGGACAGAGACAACGGCACTATAATCAAACCTACCAAATAACAGCCCTCTTCGTAAGAGTTTCTTTCGATTCACAGGACAGAAAAATTCGTCGAGGAACCAGAGCCCAGGGAGATCGGAACAAAAACCGAAATGTTGAAAATGAAGAGAGAAACTAACCCCACATCTGTTATTGGAATGAGAAGTGAGATCGGCTATTTGGAATTCTGCTCGTCCTTATCCAGATAAACGGGAAAATCGGCGGCGGAATCTTGTTCCGGTGTTTGAATATTCCAAGAAAATAAAATCGTGAGAGAAAAATCGAAAGGGGGAGAGGGGAAGAGAGAACCTGAGGAAAGAATAAACAAAAAAGAAATTAAAATTGAAAAACAAAATCGGTTACTAGTTCAGCTGTGGAGACTTTCCTAGACGTTAACGAGATCAGATGAAATTACCTATTTGCCCCTGCTTTGCCGGTAGGATCACGCGGGAACAGTCAGCTTCTGGTTTCTTTTTGTCCTTGAGATTTTTTGTGATATGTAATGTGTGTGTGTATATGTATTCGTTGTGCTGGGCTTATGGGCCTGAGCTACCTTAGTGGGCCTTGAACTCAAAGAAAAGGCTGAATGATGTATGATTATGACCCATAGCCTTTCTAAAAATGTTATAATATTATATTATATAACCAACAATCAAAGGATTTCATTTCTGAAAAACTATACATCTTCAGCCTTTGTTATAATTTTTTATTCCGTTCGAATTCTAATAATGTTTGGTTTGGTCCAAATTTTCTACGAAAAACACTTATATTCTGTTTTCGATTATTTTTATATAAATATATTTAGGTTTGATTGTTTAAAACTAAATTTACAAAATCTTAATTGTCAAATTTTTTTTTTAGATTCTAAAAACTCTAGAAACCACATTCATTCACTCAACCTTAAATCTAATTCGATTTAAATTCAGCGTAAATTGAAACCAAATCCAAACGATATTAAGGGATGGAGAAAATGACTAACCAATGATTAGAAGCATTTAGAAGTACGTTGTTCGATGTTCTTGCCTTTGTCCTTCAGGAAAAAAAATACAGAATTTTTTTCAAAATCTTACAAAAAGATATAACTGAAAACACTAAAAAAAAAAGTGAATTTAAAACGAAAATACATAAAGCCATGAACACACATAACAAGCGTTAAAGCTAAAGCATAAATAACCATAGAGTAAAGATCCCACAGACACAAGTCTTAGATATTCATGGCGTCTTCTCCACCTGTTCTAGTTTCTGTCGGAACTTCACTGAACATGTACTGGTTCTGATACTCCACGAGGTACTGCGAAGATCTTTTTACGTCTAAAAATAGACGGTATACCCTTCGAACGTCCTCGATCTCAACAAGTTTCCCTTTCCGTTTTTGGCACGCCAAGGCGGAAGCCGTGATGAGATGAATGGCGTATCTCAAAGACGTGTCTCGTCCGATCAGGGTGAGAAGTTGTTTTGCCTCTTCGTTCATATCCACGTCTTCCTCTTGGCATCGGATGTCTAGAATCTTCCTGATCTCGTCCTCGGTGTAGGGTTGGGTGTTGATGATGAGAAGACGGTCGAGGAGATCGATGGGGATCCCGTGTGGTGACTTGTAGTTTGTCCCTCGGATAGTTGTGATTCCTCTGTTTGTGGCCACGACGAGGATTGGAGCCATCTCGTTTTCCAGAGCTCGGTTCAGGAAAGAGAAGCATTCGATGTCTAGCATGTGAACTTCGTCGATGAAGAGGACACCCGGGACGATTTCCGCCTTCCCCTCTTCTCTCCATTCCGCCACTTTCGTATCAATCTGTTCCCGAACTTCTGACCGGATTTCACCCGTGTCACCAGTGAAAAGGGCAAGGAACCCCTGTGTTCTGTTAGACACCCAATTCAACATCACAGACAAATTGAAGAACATAAGAAACCCGCGAGTGACAAAAGCTAATAAGTATAGCAAGCACAGAGCTGTATTTTCAAGATCAAACCTCCAAATTAACAAACATGGGCTCAAACAAAACTATATGATGAGGATGAATTTGAATCAAAATGTTCAAATTATACAGCAACAGTGTGATGTTCTTAGTCACTGTCCTATGCAAAGTGCTAATCAGATAAACACAAGAACATTAGACCTTACTGGGTTTGGCGCAAATACTGAAAGGAAAGCAAGAAACTGAATGGTTGTATGAATCTTAAACCTATATGTCATCAAAGTTGTTATCTTTAATGAGCCAGAAGACACCCAACAAACCCTAATGCAATCACATTTGAGAAAAGACCAAGCTTTCCAACCCAAATACCAAATACCAAATTACCAATCATACGAATACTGACTGATCTTTCACAACATCACAATACGGGAAATGTGCAATTGTACCTGCTGTTGATGACATCAATCTCGTGAAGCGTCACGCAATGCACGACCTCTTTCCGCTTCTGCAACTCTCCGTCAGGGCACTGCACGAACTTGGTCTGCGGCCCCATTGCATCGTAATCACGAGACCTCGAGAATGACCTCCCGAGTTTAGTTATCTTCCCAGTTGCCTTATCAATGGCGATAACATCCCCACTCTGCACTTTCTCCTTGTTCAACGCCTCAATCATCTTCGCCCCGAGGTCGTACACAGTTTCCATGTCCGTCGTCTTCATCGTCAGCTTCCCCGTCTTCGACGCAGCTCCCGAAGACGCGGGTCGATCAATCTGGACCTCTACGACTTCCCCTTCTATAACCTCGGTTTCTTCTTTGATTCTAACACCAATCGCCTTGCGAAACGCCTGCGTCAGAGCCTCCGTCTTCGACATCTCCAGAGAGAAAAGCTCGCTCCCTGCAATCATGGCGAAAGGGGTTTCTAAACCTAGAGACTTAGCCATACCCATGGCGATGGCGGTCTTGCCCGTCCCGGGTTGGCCCGCGATTAGAATCGCCCGACCCGCGATTTTTCCCTCCTTGATCATCTCTAGGATGACTCCAGCGGCCTTTCTCGCCGTCACTTGACCCACCATGCCTTCCGACACGACTCGAGGCTCGAGCGCGGAGTCGAGACCAAGTCCGCGGATGTGGGAGTGAGCTCCGATTCGCTCCACTCGAGTCAAGTCCCGGGTCTCCGACAGCTTCAGCTCCGCCATTTTCGGTTGTCGGACGCCGGCGAGATCGAAAAACGGAGGTTTCAGGGGTTTTCTACTGAATAGGGCTTAGGGTTTTCTCTCAAGAGCTTGAAATCTTAGCCGCCAAAGAGAGAGATCTGAAATATATTAGAAAGATGTAAACCGGACCATCTAAACCGACTAAATCGATTAAACCAAAGAAAACCCGAATTCACCTTTCCGGGAAGTTGGAACCAGAGGCAGAGGACACAGATGGAAACACTTCAATAACCAAACTTAAACCGGTCTATATACCGAACCAATCCAAACCCAAAAATTTCCATAGCCTAGCCTATATGAGAATTGTCGGGTACTCTCTATAATTCCTAATTGTCACCCGCAAACAAATTCATGTGTGATAATACATATGATATCAAACGGTTTTCAAACTCTACATGTGAAATTTTATCGTAGGAACCAATTCTTCATCTTCAAACTTTAAATAATACCAATACTCAAAGTTTTGAGGATGAAACTACAAGAAAGATCAAAGACAATAACAGATTCAGGGAAAAACATGTTGTGTCCATTATGTGAATCAATCAAACAAATGATTGTGTGTGAAATAACATACAACTGTTCATAACGAATACAATCTCAGAAGACACAACAAGATTGGAGAAGAGTCATTACTCCCAATGAAATGGGAACGCCCGAGGAACAGAGACAGATCCATTCCCGGACACAACCGACCCGTCAGAGCCGTACGACACAAAAGGCTCGTGGGCTAAATAAGGCAGCGACTGAACCGCGAGAGGGATCGACGCTCTCGTTCTTGGCTGCTGCTGATTCTGCAGGACGTTTTCATGGTGCGATGAAGAAGAGGATGACAGAAGAGAGAGAGCACAGTCCGAGTCACTGACCCAACTCGTCCATCTCGTACTATCACTCTTCCTGTTATTATGGCTGCTCCTCCAACCAGGACTTGCTGCCTCGGCCATGGTTGTGAGCACTTGTAATCCAGACAACTGCGTCAACTTGGTATCTGTTGGATCAGTGGATATGAATGTTTTTTCAAGAAATCTAGACAAGAAGCCATGGCTATTTTATTTTATATCATTTTATACCTCGGAAACTTGACGAGAAACTCGAGGGACGGGTGCCGACAGGATCGGGATCGGGCTGATGCTTCCTTCTTCTACGGTTATGCCCGTCGAGACGTTTCCTACAGCTTCTCTTCCCTTCATCAAACTCTTCCAGGGAATGAAACCTGTATACACACACACACACACTCTTAAAAACCATATACTTGCATTCTGATGACCTACTTTATCTATCAGTATATCAGTACGTGACTGAATCCGGGCAAGGAATCATCATCAAACCTGCTACATTGTTGGCAAAACCTCAGTTTCCGACCATTGATTGTAACAGCAGGAGTCTTGGAATGAACCTCACAGACCTTATGTCTCCTATGATACTCCCTGCAGTTACTAAGGTTGGAATCACACCCGTCCACTACGCAAAACGGAGTCCGTGTTCCGTCACCGATCTCTCGTGATCTCTTCGATAACGGCCCCGACCTCGACCACGACGATGAAGACTCTGGTTTTGCCTCCTTCCATTTACCACCACTGGCCGTCAATGGCTCTGTGTCATTGTTATTACCAGAAGCTGAAACATAAGAGTTCCCTACATTGCCAAGTTGCAGATCAAATGAAAACTCTCCTTTCTTATTCGAACTCGGTGACCCGAATGGGATAGATTCACCGATATGCGGTATATCGGGAACCGGTTCTTGATAGAGTTCGGATACATAACCGGAGCTTTGCTTGTTGAAGCTCCAATCCATTTCAAGCCTGTTATTGCTTCTTCTTTTTTCCTGAAAAAGGAACAAGAACCGACAAGCCAAGAGTTCAAGATTCTTCCTTTCTGGATCTGGTGATCACAGAGACATCAAACAGGTCAGACCCACGAATCAGAAAAGTTATAAAACTGATGGATCAAAAGATTTCAGGGTCAAACCCACAGTAAGAGAGACACTGGATCAGTATCCGACAAGGCCTCGTTTCTCTATCTGAAAAAAACAATACATATATGATTTTGCGCTATTTATCTCTCCAGATCATGGCATGATGTAGTGGATATACACACACACACACACACATATATATGTGTGTATATGAATCAGACTAATAGCTGAAGAGTACACCGAGAACTCAATACAAGAGGATGAATATTCTTCACTATCCTTTTTGTTTTCTTTTCAATTGAAGAACAACTAGAAACCCAAAAGGTTGAATTATTAGACTGACAACTGAAACGGGGTTGGTTGCAGAGTTACAGATCCTACAAGACTGGAAGAAGGAAAAAACAAGCAAGAAACGCAGAGATATAAAGCAATTAACAAATAAACTATTCTTTTTGGGTTGATTTCATCATAGAAAAGCATTTCTCTTTTACACTCTATGGGCATTTGTGTTTCAAGTAAAAGATGAAACAATTGAGTTCAATGGAAACAAATATATAAATTTAAAAGAAGATTTTTTTTATAAAAGATTGGTCTTTGAACGTTACCAAATCCCATGCACATACCAGAGCAGCAGCAGCAGCAGAAGAAGAAGAAGAGAAAACTCCACAATAAAAAAAAAAAAGGCAAATATAATATAATATATAGATATGTATCTATATATATATATATACACAATCAATAAGTGAATCAAAAGAAGAGTATAGCTAGGGAAAGGTGAGAGAGCAAGTGTGGCTGAGGCTGCTGCGATGAGAGAGGGAGATAATGATGTTTCTAAATTCTAAGTACAATAAATGGTTTTGCTTAGTCTAATAGTTCCTTTGTTTTCAAATTTTAGGGTTTATTCTTGTTTCATATTCCAATTTTATTTTTATTTGAATAGCAACAATAATAATAAGAAGAAAGAAGAAGTAGGTATATGATGCTTGGGACCAACAAGGCATGTGACAGTTGTGTTTCACATTCTACGACATACCTCTCTCTCTCTCTCTCTCTCTCTCTCTCTCTCTCTCTCTCTTCAAAAAGCACCCTTTCTTTGACTCCCAACAAGGATTTTGTTCTCTAAAAAAATCAATAATACATTATTTTCTTATCTTTTTATTTTTGACGATTTTGTTCTGCTACCAATATTATTATTGATCTTAATAATAAATTCATATAAAAAAACTACTTGGTGAAACAAAGATTGGAAGGGGAAGAAACTCTACAGAGTAGTAGCCTTGTGACTTTTTTGGATTCAACTAAAACTATAATCAAACTCATAGTTAGAATCGAATGGGAATCGTGGAAGAAATATTAACTTGTGCATGAAATTATCATGAAAATAATATATAAATAAATAATTATATGGATATATCTATTGAAAAATAAAATGCGGAAATTAAATTAGAAAGAAAGAACAAAAAATAAAAGAACGGAAACACTTTTATTGCTACATCTCTTCTTCTTGTTACATTACCATGAAAATAATCCATACATTTATAGGAAAAATTATTGAAAGAAATAAGGAAATAAAGATACGAAAGAAACAAATAAGGCAAAATATAATTATCACGATATATATTTTATTCTTAATCGATATTATGCCTTTAATTGTTATCAATCATATCAAATCTCCATATTTTGTTTCTATTTCAACAATATCCAGATAAATGTTGATATAGAGTTACGTGGTATATTAAAACTGGTGAAACGTTATACATTCGACCACGATATGACCACCCTACCACTATGTTTTTTAAACACATTTTTAAAACAAAAAATGACATGGTCATGACATTTTATTTTATAAATATTTCATTGATGTTATACATCTATTAGTTTTTTTGTCAACATCTATCTAAATATTTTAAGCACGAGAAATATGAAATTCACCATTTTCATAATCTTATTATTAAATCTAGCGGCGACCATTTTTTTTTTTTTGAAATATTTCCGATTGATGGTACCATTGCATCTGCGATTATAGGTGACGTGACGGCATTTTCATTGTGTTTTTCACGAGTTCATAAGTTGACGGTGATAATGATTGCGGGTGATTGTAGTTAAAAATGAGTTTAACGAATGGTTGGCTATATTAACCGTTGTATTTTGATGTAAATTATTAAAAAGTAATAATTTTAATAAATTCTTTTAAAATATTTGTAATTATTTTTTATTATTATTTGATAAAAAAAATAGTTATTAAAATTATAAAATAATTAAATACAAATTTAAATATAAAATTTATAAATTTATTTTATTTTTAAATAAAAAGTAAATTTATTATTTAAAATATTAAATTTTAAAAAGGATCATTTGATTTTTTTTAATTAAAAGCCACTCTATCGAAACACGGATATAAAATTGCGATTAAAAATCTTAATTTTATTGTGATTGTGACTCAATTAACCGGAATTTTCTAATCATATGCGGTCAAAAATCGTAATCGTTTGCCCTTCGGGGCCAGGTCAGGTAGTAAGGGAGCATGGTGCATCACCCTGAGGTGGAGGGTTCGAATCCTCTCATCGCTCTTCCTTGTCTTTGACCTGCTCGTCTGTCAGTCCATCATAATGGATTGATTTACCTCCTCCGCGTGTGTTGCAGGTTCGTGCGCGTGGGCGTGGGGTTTAACCTGTAGGCGCCTAAACCCAATTACGACCCGAGCGTTAGGCGCGCCTGGTGGCCAGGTCCGGCGGACTGAGGTCCACGGGGACTGTTAGGCACGGATGGTGGCCAGTTCGTCTCCGTTTGTAAGGGTAGGTAGTCACAGGGATTCCCCGTAGTTAAAAAAAAAAAAAATCGTAATCGTTTGGTTTGTGGATGGTAACAAACAACCAAATCCAACGTAAGTATTCGGAAGGACACACCCAAGTGATGCAAAGTACATCTGAATGATTTTTTTTTTTTCTGTAAGAAGGTACTATTTTGATTATTTTATTGAATACATGACGATAATATCTTATTTTTTAAAAAGTCATACAATTGCATTTTACATTAAAAAGCATAGACAATAGCATGTAACTCGTAAGTTATTGAATATTTTTTTTATATAATTTAGAAATTTATCGAACCTTTGATCCAACTATATTTTTTAAAAGATTGGAAAAATTCAGGTGAATATTTTGTCCCCGTACTTGGATTTGAATCCAGGATAAATTGTTGAATGTTAGTCTTTAAAAAACCGAAAATTTACTGGTTGGTGAAATATATGTATTTAATGTTGCTAACCTTGATATTTTTAAAATTAGTGGACCAAACGTAAGAATAACAAATCTCAACGAAACTTTAGATCAGTAGGACTTTTTGGAACAAATCTAGATTAACTTTAAAGTCAAATGATATCGTATAAATATTTCAATGATCAACTTTTATATCCCAGAGAAAATTATATGTCTAACCATACACTAGAAATTATAAAAAAAAATTGACGTAAAATTGTGCAGTTTATGGACAATAGCAAATTACATTTGGGTTCTAAAAAAAGAATAGAAAGAAACTTAAATAAGAAGTTTGGATGTATAAATTATTTCTATATAATATCCACACAAATGTCATATAGTCTTTTTTTCCACCAACTATGATGTAGCTTGAGCAAGCAAATACAGGAGGGACTGCATCTAATACCGAAGGGTCCACACCAGCGATCTAATAATTATAACAATAAAATTTCAATAAAAATAATAAAGGCCTTCCACCTATTTTTTTTTTTTTAAATTTACTTTAATTGTCTTTTTCATATACTATTACATTACTATCATTACCGACGAATTGAATTATAAAAGGTCTTCCACCGATTCCTCTCACGTACAAATTTTGAGTTATGTCAATAATTCTATACAAGATTTATTTCGTAACTATAAAAATATGAGAAATATTTAATTTATATAAAAGAAAAGTTTAAATATTATTGTAATTTTTTATTTGGTTTGGATTTTTCTAATGATATTGGCACTTTTTTGCAGTATATTTGTATATGTATATGTGTATAGCATGTGTGTGTGTATATATCAATATGTATGCTTTGTAATTTCGTTACAATTTTAAAGTTCATCTTTTCTAATTAATAATAACAGCTGAAATTATAATAAAGAGAAATTTTATATAAATCAGCTGTACATATATTGGAAATAAACACAGCTTTTCATCTACGAAAGCAAGGAGCTAGTGGTCCATCTATTTCTCATTTGATATAGTTTTTTTTTTTTAAAGATATAATTAATGGCCTAATATAATCTTACATTATTCGTTCGTGTGGTCCATAATTTCTGATGGTTTTATCCTCCGATCACTATGTTAATTCCTAAGATTACAAGTCATTTGAAATTTTATCAAATTTTTTTCATTAGAAATTATTTTAAACTTGAAAAAGACGGATTTATGTATTCAAACCAAACTAAGCCATCATGATTCCCAACCGACAAAGACAACGGTCCAAAAACTCGTCTAAAATAGCTTTTATATATATATATATATATATATATTATTTTTTTATCAAAACCCTAAATTTTAGGACGAGTTTCCATAAATTATGTCTTTTCATATTTATAAATATTTTCTTTCGTGCAAGAAAGTACCAAGAATCTTGAGAGACGATATATTGTTTGTGAGTTTGTGACAATAGAGCTATACACAGATATAATTAGATTAACAGTATAAAGTTGCTTAGTGGGAAAAAATAGATATGGTTATATGATTATATATATATATATATATACACATAAACACATGCATGTAATAGAAAAGGTAATTACACACACACACACACACACATATATATATATATATATATATATATATATCCTAATAGCTAATGACAAGCCATATTTTTTACAAAAATGATATAAGCTGGTCAATTTTTTGTATAATTTCCCGGCTTCTATTTAAAATACATCGAACCATACAAATATGGTGTGGTTGAAAATACATGAGGGGGCTTATTTGTACATAGGAAAAAGAAGAGCGTATGTGTAAACAATTAGGAGAAAAGGGGTGAATTTAGAATTTAAGATGAACCAAGAGGCCATTTACAAAAAACTTTGGAGGGGCCAATAAATGCGTCAGACGGTCAGAGTCACAGCCAAATGTTGCGTGACACGTGTTCAATTCCCTTGCCACACATATCTTTTGAAGGCCCTAATTAAATCCACGTGGGCCCCATGCGATATTTAATTGCATGTCGGCACCTTTTGTTGAGAAGAAAAAAGAAAAAAAAAACGTGCAAAAAAAATAAGAGAATAGAACTATTCTTTAAAGAAAAAAAGGTGACAAATCGTGTTTTAGTCAATGAAAATATAGTATTTATAGACAACGAAAATGGGTCTTATATACTTGCTGGACTAATGCAAATGAATATGTAACGATATTATGGAAAAAAATTGCATAATGAATGACGACAAATAATATAATTTACTAAATTTATCAAATAAAATAGAATACAATTTTAAATTTTAAATTTATTTTGTTATAGAACACACACAAAAAATCTGTTTTTTTCTTCACATTTTTAAATGTAATATAATATATTTTCATTTTTTTCGTAAATATATAATATTTTTTCATAATTATGTATAATGTCTAATTCAATCGTGGAAACATATATTATCTTCAAGGTCACTACTTAGATGTTTTGTTAGGACTTAGGAGTTTTGAGATTAGTAATAAAAAAACTCATTTCTTACGAATTAATCAAGTTTACTTGAAATAATTTACTAAATTTATCAAATAAATATAATAACATTTTAAAATTGAAATTTATTTTGTTATAGAACACAAAAAAATCTGATTTTTTTTCACATTAGTTTTGAGGTTAATAATAAAAATCTCATTTCTTACGAATTAATCAATGTTTACTTGAAATAATTTACTAAATTTATCAAATAAATAGAATAAGATCTTATTATTTTGTTATAGAACACAAAAACAAATCTGATTTTTTTAGTTTTGAGGTTAATAATAAAAATATAATTTCTCACGATTAACCAAAGATTACTTGGATTCTGTAACGTATATAACATAATAATGAACTACCATATAATGTTATGTTTTATTGAAATCTTTACGTGTCGTCTGTTCTTACAAACACTAAACACCAACACAGAGACAGAGAACATGTCCCAAGTTATTTAGTTTCAAACATACGAAAAAGAACAAAAACAACTATATAATACAACACCCATGTTGATCTTTTATCATTATTGCTTAAACATTTCGCATAATCTTGCCCTAATCACTCCTTAATCCGACTTGATTTGCGATGTCTTGATCGATTCCGGGTACAGAATCGCACGTGTTCCGGTCATGTCGAGGATTTTCTTGTTGAGAGCATCTTTCTCCGACGTGCCGAACCCGGTCATGCACAACAATCGGCATCCGTATTCGATTATCTCCGGACAGAACACTTTCCACAAGTACGTGACCTTAAACCACGACGGCTCGGTCACGTACTTCTGTCCTCGACACACCGCTCTCACGATCGCCCTCGCGCAATCCGTCACCGACCCGACGGGACACACACCTATTTGAACCTGCATCGCGAAAACATAACATGATATCGATATTATTCTGTACGGAAATACTAGAAAATAAACACGATATTAGAGATAAACTCGAATGAATATATCCTGACTAGAGAGTTAGGTATTCGACTTGCAACATGATTGCAACATGATAGAGATCGGATTTTAATATGCCTAAAACCGGAATTTCGAATTCAAATTCGGTTAATATGTTCAGATCAGATAATTACCCGTAAATACCAAATTATATATAAATAACTATTATATTTTGAGTTATTAGAGTATATATATATATCAATGATTTTGTATGTAAAAAATTATCGATCTAATCAATCTAGTAAAAATATAAATATTTTTCAATAATTTTATAAATTTTTTTATGAATTTTAATCAAAAAATTTTTAAAACCATTCAAATCCGGATATCCGAACACCCAGGTTTGGATTTTCAAATACGTAACCGGATAATGTATATCCTAGAAAAATTCTCGGGTACTCGACTTACATCCCTCATGTCCTGATCAACGATCATCTCTCCTTCTTCTGACAAGTACTTCCCTTGTGTAAGTTCGGATTCGATGTAACCAGGCGTGACGATCGTGATACCTATGTCACGGCCGAGTTCGATCCTCAATGTGTCGAAGAAATTCCACAGCGCTGCTTTGCTCGCCTAGTGAATAACCATCATATGGCATAAGCTTAGTTAAATTTCGAAGTCGGTCCAAATGAACACTGCCACTGGTGAACAATATATATAGACTCACGTTGTAAATGCTCATTCTCGGAGCGGTTAGCCATGCCGCGGCGGAGGACATTACCACGATCTTCCCGTTGGCTTGTTTAAGGTACGGAAGTGCGGCTCGAGTCATGTAAACCGGACCCCAAAAGTTGATATCCTACCCCGAAAACGGCAACAATGTTGAATACGAATTAGTGCTCGTTATTCCGGTAACAGATTTCGGTAATAAATAAGAATTACCATAACGGTCCTCGTCGTGGTGATATCCGTAACATTCTCGAACATCGCCATACTGGCTATCCCGGCATTGTTCACTAGATGATCCACTGCCAAAAAAAAAAGATGATCCATATATATATATAGTATTTATGTGTGGTAAAATGAATTCCGCATATTATTATTATTCTCTCTATTGCAACACTACTGTGGAAAATCTAGGTTAAATTCCGACCACATGTATAATTACGATAATACCCTTATACTTACGTCGTCCGAAATGAGAGATAGTGTCGTCGACGATTCTCCGGCAATCTTCGGGTTGGGAGACGTCGGCGAGAACGGTGATGACGTCAGGCGATCCCAACTCGAGTGCGAGTTCCGCCACTTCTTGGAGACGGTTCTTCCTCCGAGCTGCTAAGGCCAAACATGCTCCTCTACTTCCGTACTCATATGCCAAATGCTGCACATTTATATATAATTTGTATGCCGTATGTAAAACGGAGTTTTCTGTTTTTATTTTGGAATTAAAATAAGCAACATTATTTATATATATATATGCATTAGCGGCTATTATTTATATGTGCTTATTCGATCGTGGAAATGGCTCGTTACATCCGATCCTATGGGATAAATTGTTCGCTAAATCCTAATCATAAACGTATGTACATGAACAAAGCCCCAAACATTCACCGATCCGTGCAAAATAAAAAATATTTATTTTTATTATAAAACATTTAATAATAAATTTACAAATATTTAAATATAAGTATATTATGAATTATATTAAAATATTAATGGAATAATTAAATTTAAAAAAATACGTTAAAAATAACGTAATAATATCTATATTATATTTAAATAAAACCAACCTTTTAGCTTTATTTCAAATAAAATATCTATAGTTTTAATAGTTGATCCTCTACAGAAAATATTTACCAAAATGAAACAATAGAATATTTATTCTCGAATGACGATTGCAAAAAGTAAATAAATAAAGAAAACCCCACACACCACAGTATACTGTATTTATTCATTCTTTAATTTTGTCCAACAAGTACATAAATACAGAGGCCACATGATTCAAAAAATACGAAATTAAATCCGTATAATTAGCAGAAATATTAGGGAAATTACCTCGCCGATACCGGAGGAAGCACCGGTTATGATAACGACTTTTCCCTGGAGATTTTCCGAGAAAATGGAAGAGAAAATGGAAAGCAAGAACTTGAAGAAGTAAAATGGGGGCAAGAAGAAGCAGAAGGCGAAGAAGGTCATGAAAGGGGCCGTCAGATTCAAGAAACCATTGATTATATCCATTTCGACCGACCAAACAGTTAATCTAAAACTCACAAAACACAGAACCAGAGTATTCGCTCGACCGAATTGTGTCTCATCGACGTTATATTATATATAAATATATATTATTGTGTGTGCGAATCTTGGAATTATGTGAAAAAATTGGTGTTACGTGGCTGTTTTGCATGGGAATGAGAGGCCACGTAGTCTCGGCATGCTGCATACACGTGATGACTCTTCGTTTGGATCGTTCATAATTTGGATAGCGATCGCCCTTCTTCGCCGTTTCGTTGTGAAAATTTCGACAAAAGTTTATATTTATATTTTTTGGTAAAGGATAAGTTTATATAATTCGACTACGGTACTTTAGTTAGTAATCTAATGTTGGTATTTTGGTTTGGTTTCTCACTTCAATTTTGGTTTGATTTCTCACATCTCACAAGTTCTAGAATGAGGGAATTTTCAGCCATAGATCCAAACGTGTTTTCCGGATTCTAGTTTAGATAAAATTAACAACGTTACGGATAAAAAGTTTTAAGGTACAAAAATGTATTTATTTCTATTTGCTTGATATATTTTCTCTTTGAAACATTACTAACTATACCATTTTAATACGCTTTAACATTATTTTCTACTTTAAAAATAAAAATAATAGTAATTTGCATATTAATGTACAAATTTGTTAAAAAAATCTATAATAAAATAAAAGAATTTTAATCTTAAAAAAAATAAAAGAACCCTTATTAACTTTTACATTAAAATCTAAACTTTTAAACCGTTTCCAAACATTATAAATTTTAGAAATTATTTAAAATTTTAAGGTTTAATTTGATGAAGATTTTTTGAAATTTATTAAAAATTTAAATAGAATTTTTTTGTTTTTAAAAGTTTAAGATTTAATAAGCGAGTTGGGGAAAAAAGTTTATATACACAAAGTTAGAAAGAGTTAATATATTTATTTGAGAATTTCAAATATATTTATTTAATATATTTTTATAAATATGTGTATTAGTCTACGATTTTTTCAAAAAAAAAACAACCGAAAAAACATCAATTTAATTCGCTCCAATATTAGTAATAGAGGGAGATTCCAAAATACATCTACAACATAAGTTACCAACCAAAATTGAATATCTAAATTTATCACTAAATGTATGTACACGCGTATCTATATGTGTGTGTGCCCTAACACGTAATAATAACGTTTACAAGAAAATAGATCAAACAATTTTCTAGATACAAAGATTTTTATTGTTGGGCTCGTTTTGTAATAAAGATAACAAAGGGGGGAAAATCACTTGTTTTATTCATTTATATTCATTTGGTTTTGAAAAATGAACTTGTGGCAGTGGGACCTATTGATAAAATTCATTTGGGATTTGAAATATTAAAATTTCCCCGGTCATTAAATCGTGACCTTTTAATATATAGTATAATATTTGATAGTATTTCGGCTTGTATGGATTATTCGTTGGTATGATATGTTTCGAACTTCTTGTTTCACGTTTATATTAAGAAAAAACAGTTCCATTTCGCTAAATTCAATTTGGTCAATTTGCGTCGATTTCATTTACGCGGCTTAAGAAATTTGCTACGGTCGGTTTATTCCGGTTTATTATTCAACCTATAATCGTTCAAATGGAAAGGAAAAACAAAAGGAGCTTGTTGGAGCATAAATCAAACCAAAATACATCAGTTTGGTCCTTGTTTGATTTTCAATTCAGTTTTGGTCCGGTTTGATTTGGGTTTTTACACTTGAATTGGTTTGGATTTCATTTCTAGGTTAGGTTGGTCCGAATAAACATTAAAAATGATTAAATATAAAGTCTCCTAGTATATATTCGGTAGTCCAATTGACAAAAACGTTCATATTAATTAAGAGAAACACAAGAACAACTCGTATATAATAATTCAGAACATAGAAGAAAAAAATAGCGTTATAAAGATTTTTTTTACCGTGTTGGTAAAAATTTTACCTTGTCTTACGGTCTTTGGTTGGTATAATTCCGTACTTCATTAACTGCCCCCTCACGAACCGTTCGTATATGAAAGAGGCTCCTCTTGTTTGCGGCATAACCAACCAGACCACCAACACTAACTTCATCGTGTACCATATCGGTATCCTACGAATATTACAAACAAAAATAAATAAATATTTTTTAAAACATTAACATGACTAGTAAATCATAATTATAAAATTTTTGCATTTGTAAAGAGTTTATAGGACTCGAACGGAAGAGAATTTTAGAATTTTTAGAATTTAAAAACAAAAAAATAGGTGATATTTTTTTTTGAGTTTTTTTTTTTAAATTATTGGTTTTTTAGTTTTTCATTTTTTGTTTTAATAATATTTATAAATAAATAAAATATTTTTATTTAATAATTTCACTATAACAATTTTAGAAAAAATCAAATATACAAAATCTTAAAAACGTCTCCCATACCTAAATTTACAAAATTTTGTCAAATTGTTTATTATAAAATTTTAATAAAATTTAATGCCTTAATTTTTCTAAAAATTTATATAATTAACAAAAACTATTATAATAAAAAAATAAACTGGAAACTAAAATTCCATTTTTTTTTTAATTTACAAATATTAAAAAATAAAAAACCAAAAATCATAACCATAATGTATTTTTTTTTTGGTTCACTTACCATTCTAAAGCGGATTGGAGGATAAGTTCAGAGAGAGTGAGGAGTGAATACAAAATCCAATAAGCAAGCCATTGCTCGTCGTCTTCTTTTGATGGGCTCTCCATTGCTATCACCGACGCATATCTTTGGAGGATAAAATAGAATCAGAAATTAAATATATTTTTATCCACCGATTCAAAAATTATAAAAAATATAACATGAAATTATATATATATATATATATATATATATATATATATATATTTGGAATATAGAAATATAAAAAAAACTTACAGAGGATACAGCAACATCAACGCTGGCCTGCAGAGATGATCGAAAGTAAAAAAAACATGAGATTATTTGAAAGAGACAAATATATAGAATTGTTGATGGAAATTAGAAACAAAATAGAGAAAAATACATTAGAAAGAAGAAGAAGAAGAATACCCGGCGAGGACATGAACGCCGGAGAGAAAAGCCCAGAATTTACTCATTTTTCCCCAATTTTTTATTTCCCTTTAGATTTTTGGAAATTACAGATCGAGAAAAAAAAAGGAAAGAAAAGGAAAGCGCAACAGGGGCGAGATGAAAGCAAGTTTGAGCCTTTTGTTTTTGTCTGAAGGAACACGAAGACTAGAAGTTTCTTAACCACCCATTATATAAGTAAAAAAAAAAAGAGACAAAGATCGGTACGGTTTATATATCTGGTTATTGTCCGGTACGGATTTAAACCGGAGAAATTTCTTTTGATACGTTAATAAAACCCCAAACCGACCCAATTAAAACCGGATCGATTAAAACAAAAATCACTGTGTGAGATTAAACCTGAACCAAGATTATAAATTCATTTAATGATAACTTCTCCGGTCTAATCCATGTGGTTCGGTAAGTTCGGTTGGGTTCGGTCTGCCGGTTAGCTTCCTGATATGGTTGACAGGTGGCGAGAGGAGAGGGAGCGTATCGGATTTCTACACTTGTACACATCGACATCCACGTGGCACCGGCCAAGCCAAGTGATGCCGGTGGGGATTGTATTTAATTGCTTTAATTTGTGATTTCACATGCTTTATTTCAATTAATTCATTGATAATTTTAATTAATTGATTAGTTATTGTAGATTTTTTTAAATAATTTGGCCATATTATAAAACTTAACCTGAGAGGAAATGTATTGGCCTTTCCATTATACCAATGCCACGTGTTCACGTCTCCGAGGAAAAATAATATCGTGCTCCCACGCATGCTTTTTAAAAAAAATAAAAAAGAAACTATACTAAATCTCTATTATATATTTGAATAAGTCCATAATAAATAATTATATACTATACTGAGTAATATATGTGAAAGAAAAACAGAACAAAACAAAACAAAATACTCGAGAGACTAGAAATATTGTTTTGATTATATCGGATACAATGAGATATTCTATTATGTTAGTGTAATAATCTAAACATATTATACATAATTTGTTACAAGAATGAAATTCTGTCACAATCGAATCATAAGAAAATATCTTTTAAGCTCAATCGAATGAAATTCTGTCGCAATCGAAACATAATAAAATATCTTAAGCTCGATCGAATAAAATATCTTAAAGTCACCAATTGCTTCATGTGGACCGTGGAGACAATGTTTGGTGAAAAATATAGTCACCAATAGTTACAAGAATGAAATATTGTACGGCTAATGTAATCTAGATATATGAAACTATTGGTGGCTATATTTTTTCACCAAACATTATCTCCACGGTCCATATAACAATTAATGGGATGAAATTAGGGATTATTAGTGTTGGGATTTGATATAATTCTTCTTTTAAGCTCAAAGCAATATGTTGGTACAATTGAGCCCATAATTTTCAATGGATAAAATTAAAATCTAGATCCATAATTTGTTAAGCCCAAATTGATTTTCATGGCCATAGATTTAGCCCAATGGGTCATTCATTGATCATGAAAATTTCTCGTCTTTCATTTGTAATTCGTGTCTCTATAGAAAGTACACATTTTACATTATATTATATTCCTTATAAAATAAAGTTTTTCTACCTTTTTCATTTTGTTACATGTCAAACTCTACATGCTTAATATGGGACTTAATACAAACATATATTAAAAAAGGCCAAATAACTTTACAAACTGCATTTCTCTTGTCCCCCCAACATTGATCCTCCTTTTCCCATTTCTTATAAATTGATTTCAGCATCACAAGAGACACAAACTCTAAATTTTAAAATGCAAAAAAAAAAAAATATTAATAAATAAAAAACAATAAGGGGTATCCTAGCTGGAATGGCATGTGAGGGTTTAGGAATCTCATGGACATTGCATACAATCCTTTTTCTAAGAAATTATATGTGTATTTGTCAAATGAAATGAAAGCATAATGGCTCCCACTATTAGTGCTTTATGTGTAACCCACAACTTTTGATTACTTTCCAATTATTACAAAAGAAATCATATCTTACCCTTTTCGGCACAATGCTCCATCCATCCATCCATACATACATACATACATACATACATACATACATACATACATACATACATACATACATACACAGCCATTATGACATTTTTTTAAAGGAAAAAAAAAGAAGGCAATTTAATGTATTGGAAAATAGTCTTCAAATTGATCTAATTTCAAACCCTCTTACCTTGTTCTTTTTGTAGACACAAAGAAAGAACTCCAATGAAGTTAAGGATCGGACCAATTTCAATTGAATGTCATGTCACAATCATATTATCAACTAGAATACGTGGATATATGATTAAAAATCAGAAAATACAGAAAAAAAACTAGTTATAATATCGTTAAAATGTCAATTAACTATAAATCCAAATAAAATAATCAAGGTTTAAAAATGTTTTATGACCGAAAATTAATAGAATAAATCTATTTAAAATTAATTAGAAAATAAATAAAACAATAATCTCTCCTTTTCTAAATAATTATCGTTTTAGATTTTTTTACACTTTTTAAAAAACTATACAAAAATCACATATATTTTCATTAAATTATCTTCTCATTAATATTTTATTAAAGTTAGATAATTAAAATTGAAGATAAAATTATATATTTTTATAAAAAATATCCTAAAAATTTAAAACGATATTTATTAAATAAAAAAATATTCTCTAAGACGAACATTTGATAAATGGAATTTCAATGGAATGTTTTTAAAAAAAAAAATTAAAATTTTAAATGTTTTCTGTTTGGTTAAATTTGTATTTTGGAAAGTGAAATTTATAAACGAAATTTCCAACTTGTTAATTATGACAACAATGGCAGGTGGGCATGTGCTTAGGACAGTAGTTAGAGAGAATCTCTCCCTTGTATTATCAACGATGTTTCACAACCACATGTTAAACTTATCTCCATTTTCTTTCCTATTTTTTTTTTTCAATTTTTGTTGGGCTTTTTTTTTCCTCGCTCCTAGAAGTACTCAGATAAAAAAAGCTTATAGATGAATACTTGGAGTATGTATTCATTATTCTTATGCTATAATTATTTTTGTGGGTCCATTATGTTCTTTCCCTTTCCAAATTTTATCCAACGTGGAATATTCGTTCTTCATAAAAACTTACTATTATTTTTGTACTAACAACGGACCAAAAGAGACACAACTGAAGCAATCGAATAACCACATGTAAATGGCTATATTGCCATTCGTATCTTCTTTTTTTATTTGACATTGATGACATAATGTACCCTTTTTTACTAAAATCCATGGGTCACAGACCATCACATGCTAATAAATGTTACAATTTATCATGGAATATATCTATCTATACAATTAAAAAAAGAACCCTAAAACTCGTTTACTGATTATTTTATTATATAACCTCTAAATTTCGAAAGTTAGCCCCAAAGAACCATACGAGGAAGTTAATGCGACGTACAACTAGAATGTATTTAATAATAACCAAAAACATCTAGATGGCAGACGCATTTATTAAATTCCTAAAATGCCCCTGGCACCGACGCGTTATTACATCAGGGTACAAGCGTTTGGGTTCTCGTCGCTGAAAATCTGAGGTGGTTGAGCGTAATAATAAACATTATCCATTGGATACCTCGGCGGGCTATAATGGTAATAATACTCGTTCCTCTTTGTCTCCACCACTTTCTCCGTCTCCTCCGCCGCCGCCGCATCGCCACCGCTTTCCACCGCCGGTTTGGCCTCGCCGCCGCCGCCGGAATCTTTGGGCTCTTTGGCTTTGTCTAATTGATCTTTTTTGTTTTTCTCTTCTTTGGGTTTTTTCTCCTCCGCTTTCGCCTTCTTGTCCTCTTTGGATGGTTTGTCTTTGGTCTCTTTGTCTTTGTCTTTCTCCGGTGACATTTCCGGCGGCGGATCTTGCTTGACCACGGCGGCGTGTTTGCCGGTTTTTCGGTATATGTATTCGACCAACGTCGCCGGAGTGAAGATTCCTTTCACAATCACTTGTGAGGCCTTGTACTCTGGTTCCACACTCTCCACTCCTGCAAAATATTTTACCGATATTAATTAGTTTGTTTCACGAAAGAGAATTTAAAAAAAAAACTAAACAAGACCTTTCGTCTAATGTTTCGGATTTCTGTTAGGTTAGTAAATGTTATTATTCAAATAATGATAATATATATATATATACACATACACAAGTGTGACATGAGTTACACAAGACAAATAATATGTCTAATAACCATTTTCACGGGAAAAAAATAATATAGGGTTCCTTGGTAAAAACAACACGGTAAATAAGAAAACGTAAAATTCAATTCATTTACAATATGAGTTGGGTGGTGTATTGGAATTCTAAGATTCTTTGCAAATCCAAGGAGTCACATCAAAGTATTTGACTTTGCTTGGACCTCATTCAACACAATTAATCTTAAATAGTCTCTGATTACTTAAAAAAACATTATTCCCCCCACAAAAATTTCTTCATTTAATATATATATATATACACATAATTAGAGTATTATCTATTGGCCCTCTTGTGAAGGGGAAAGACTACTAGAGTATAGTAGTACACATACATACATACATACTTAGGAAGAGTCCAAAGAGTGGAATCTTAACTCAACTAAGTGTGGAAAAGTGTCCATAAACAAGTTAAGGAAATCGTCATAATTTATTTTTCAGATCCAAGGATGCTGAGCAGTTTTTTATTTTCAATTTTTATTATTCGAAAAGAGAAAAAGAACAAACCTTTCATTCTCATGATTCTCTTTTGGATCTCCATGGCACATGCTTCACAATGCATGTGAACTCTCAGCACCACTGTCACTGCCTATGTGGCCCGAAACCCACAAACCAAAAACGAGTTCTCAACGTCAGAAAGCTAACAATGTTGGATTTGATACTGAAAAAAAGCGTTTAATAGATTGACATGTAGATTTACCCTAAACCCTAACCATGTTGTGGCTAGGGTTTCGATTTTCATCGGATTCAAACACGAATAATACCTCTTCCTTTTTCTCCTCGGCTTTAGGTTTCTCGACGGCCTTCTTCTCCGGTTCCTCGGCCGGTTTCGGCTCGGGGATCGGAGAAAGAAGCTCCACTTGGCGGTTGCTCTTCCTTTGCAATCTCTCCAACACCTTCAATGGATCTGCCTTGTCTCCTTTCACAATGACCTTACCACTTTTACAATCCGTCATTACATCCTCGACTCCTGTCCATTTTTTTTTCAAGTTTGTTTTTGTCGGAATGTGAGATGGTATTACAAATCAGGAGATGCAAGTTTCATACAAAAATCCAATGAATCATAAATGCTTCACTGCACAAATCTCCAAATTGGATTCAGCGTAACTATCAATCTAATGTCATCTATTTCCTCAACGGCATCACCAAATTCGCATTCAAAACAAAATACGACCCATTGTTGGATCCAACTCTCATTACCAAAAATTCATAAATAAACCAGTAAATCGAATCAAATCAGATCGAGCGAAACGATTATAAGACTTGTGAATGCCAGAATCTTATTGGGAACTTAGTTTTTTTTTTTCTTCTTTTGTGTGTACCTTCGAATCCTTTGAGACACCGACGAACTTTCTTGGCACATCCTTCACAGTGCATGTAAATTTTAAGAACAATCTCCTGAGGCTTCTTCTTCTCCTCCTCCACCACCTCCTTCGGATCTCCAGATTTCTCCGGCGGATTTTCCGGCTTCTTCTCCTCGGATTTCTTCCCGGATTCTTCTCCTTCTTCTGGTTTCTTCCCCTCCATTTTCTTCTCCTCCACCGGTTTCTTCGCTTCCTATGAACCACAAACAGAGAAAAAAGGAAAAATCTTATGAGTGCCCAGAAAAAAAAAGGATGAGAAAGAATGTTAAGCGATGAGATTATATACAAAGATCTCTTATTTTCGTGGAGAGGAAGTGTATGAAAATCAAACAGACCTCCCCCATTGATGATTTTAGTGTCTACTAGTGGCAGAGAGATAAAGCTTTCTTCTGCAACCCTCTCTGTCTATGGACCATCAGTTTTGGAATATATTTATACACAGGGACGTCCAAATTATTATTGCCCATGAAATATATTTTTTTTCGAAAGGTTTTTAATTTTTTGGTCCATCATTGTACTAAATCGTTATTATATAGTACGAGTTTTATTCAAGAATATGATTTTATATTAAGAATTCGTTAAAATTGGTTACAGGCAGCCACCGTTTGGATTCATTTTGTAAATATTTTTTTTTTGGATTATTTTATTTATGACATTGGCAGAGTAAGAGATAAAAAATCACATGCAAGTGTCTTTGTGTAATTTTTTCCCTAGTGAATTATGTGGATTTTATTAACTTTGATAATATCTTAAAACCGCATGTTAATTAGATCCGGAAAACTATTAGAGATATAAACAAATTAAATCCAGTATATATCTGAGCAAATGAAATAGTTTAAATTATTTGGGTATTCTGTTTGTTCTAATTAGATAGATTGACAGAGATAATTAAATTAGAAAATCGATAAGGAAGCGAAGAAAGGAATCCTCTGTAATTGGGCTGTACTAATTAATGATTTCAATTTCATTTTTTGTTAAATCTAATATTTTTCATAATTTACAAGTATTTTAAAAAGAAAACCAACAAAAGAGATGATATTCTTTGTCTTTCATGTGAACTGTTGTAATAATTGTTAAATAAATATCATATTTTTCATATTTTACAAGTATTTTAAAATGAGTTAGATTTATCGATGTTTAATTAGTAGAAATTGCGATACTGATGGCCTCTTATTGGGGGGGGGGACATGTTAGGATTTATGTTAGGCCCATTAAAATCAAATTGTATGGCCTTTAAAGACGATCTTTCATATTATTGTGTTCTAAGGGCCCATATGATTTGTTTGGACATAAGCAATTGTGGGCCATTACAATGAACATATAGGGCCCAAAACGTTTTCTATACATATATTTAATTATATACGTGTGTATATATATATATATCATATGCGTATACATACTTTTGAATGGATTGATAAATTCGATTACGGTTATATACTAATGTTGGTACTTATGCTTTTGTTATCATGCAGTATGTCTGCCTTTTACTTGCAAATTCAATCGTATATTTTTCCGAACCATATACCATGCAAAATAACGGCCATAGGATAGGATATGAAATATTGTAAGATCATAAAACATTGTTCCTGATATGTAGTTTTTATGACTGTGTCCAAATATAAATAGATTATTAAAAATTTAAAATATAGGCAACGGTAAGCGAAATCAGATCGAGCATAGTAATTGAATTTTGTCTCTATATAGTATATGTACATATATATCATGTGACATGCATCTCTTGAATGTTATTAATTATTACATGGAAGATGAAAGAATATTTCTAAAAAACATTTTAAAAAAAAAACCCCTTAAAAAGCCCACAAAAAGCAGAAAGTCGCAAACTTCAGATCCTCTTCCACTTCTCAAGAACAATGCACCACATTTTTAATGGAGGGTCGTCTTTGGATCATCTAAAGTTAATGAATATACATATAAAATCTTTGAATAATATTGAAAAATCTTTAAATAACATTTTTAAAGGAGGCTCGTTTTTTGTATCATCTAAACTTCGAATACTCTTCCACTTCCCAAGGTCTGCTTTAAATAATATTGAAAAATATCATGTAAAGTTAATGAATATATATATATATATAATGTCTGCCACTGCCACAAAATGGTTAATAAAACATCATGAAATGGTTAACAAGTTGAATTATTTATGAGGAAAATGGGTCCACGCAAATTAAATATTTAATTATAACATAACAAAATAATACAAGGAGCAGTTAGCGAGTCCACCTCCTCTAAAGCTGGTAAATAAAAGCGATATAACCGAGAAGCATCCATTTTCTCTCATTAATATTCTTTTTGTTTTGGAATCTTTTTTTAAAAAAAGTTATATAGATGTGATATATATATATATATATATATGTGCAAATATCAATTATAACTTGTAAGTTTTCTTTCTCAGTTGGCTCGCATGGATCTGGTCAATGAGATCCTTAACATTGTACTTCCTCCTTTAGTTTTTCTCAGTCTGTTTTTGTTATCGCCATTATTAATCTTCTTCAACCTCCTCCGCCGCGTACAAGGATTCAGAAACGCCGAGGATGTCGCCGGAAAAGTTGTCATAATCACCGGAGCTTCCTCCGGCATCGGCGAGGTTACTACCCTGTTTTTTCTTTCACGAATCAAATACTCTCTTTTTTGCATTTATTTGTTACTCCACTGATTATAAATTTGTACAATTAATAGTCCAGTGGTTACATACATGTATGTCTTCGCAAATAAGGTATTTGGACTCGTGAATGTTTTGGTGAATATATTTTTCGCGAGTTTTAGGGAAAATCCCACAAAAATATTTAAAATTAAAGATGTGTCGAAAATATATATATATATATATATATATATATATATATATATATATATATCTTTTTATTTATATAT